CGGTCAATAGAACTATTGTTTAAAATTCATTCTCGCGTTGTTGGTTACCGTTATTAGAGACGATACCATTCATGCTAAGGCAGGTACACAGTAAAAATGTGAAGGTCGTTGATTATCAATTAGGTTACAAAAAGCAGAACACCTTTTATACCGTCGTAAAAATTCCTACATACCTGTACAATGACTAATATGTTTTTGTCGAGTAATCATTTTATATGGATAAGAATTTCGACCATTTACCACGATGCCAAACTTACGTGACATATTGTAGATTTACATTAAACGGATATACATGTCCACGTGTACGTAATGTTGTACTATGTAGTTTATGATGAGAAACTTTTGCGTTATTTGAGCATATCGTTCCTTAAAAATAGTTTTCACAGGGAGTAAGTTTTTGCCATAATGACAAATAATTTGTAATTCATATTATAAAAAAGAGAGATGATATTAATCCAGGGAAGATGAAAAAATTGTTGATATAATGAGTAAGGTAGCGTACATCTACAAACCACATATATATTGTGTTATGTAGTATACACCCTTAAGGGAGATGATTATTGATACAAACCACATATATATTGTGTTATGTAGTATACACCCTTAAGGGGGGTATTTATTGTTACAAACCACATATATATTGTGTTATGTAGTATACACCCTTAAGGGAGATGATTATTGATACAAACCACATACATATTGTGTTATGTAGTATACACCCTTAAGGGAGGTATTTATTGATACAAACCACATATATATTGTGTTATGTAGTATACATCCTTAAGGGAGATGATTATTGATACAAACCACATATATATTGTGTTATGTAGTATACACCCTTAAGGGAGGTATTTATTGATACAAACCACATATATATTGTGTTATGTAGTATACACCCTTAAGGGAGGTATTTATTGTTACAAACCACATATATATTGTGTTATGTAGTATACACCCTTAAGGGAGATGATTATTGATACAAACCACATACATATTGTGTTATGTAGTATACACCCTTAAGGGAGATGATTATTGATACAAACCATATATATATTGTGTTATGTAGTATACACCCTTAAAGGAGGTATTTATTGATACAAACCACATATATATTGTGTTATGTAGTATACACCCTTAAGGGAGATGATTATTGATACAAACCACATACATATTGTGTTATGTAGTATACACCCTTAAGGGAGGTATTTATTGATACAAACCACATATATATTGTGTTATGTAGTATACACCCTTAAGGGAGATGATTATTGATACAAACCACATATATATTGTGTTATGTAGTATACACCCTTAAGGGAGGTATTTATTGATACAAACCACATATATATTGTGTTATGTAGTATACACCCTTAAGGGAGATGATTATTGATACAAACCACATATATATTGTGTTATGTAGTATACACCCTTAAAGGAGGTATTTATTGATACAAACCACATATATATTGTGTTATGTAGTATACAACCTTAAGGGAGATAACTATTGATATACACCACATATATATTGCGTTATGTAGTATACACCCTTAAGAGATATAACTATTGATACAAACTACATATATATTGCGATATGTAATATACGCCCTTAAGGGAGGTATTTATTGATACAAACCACACATATATTGTGTTATGTAGTATACACCCTTAAAAGGGGTATTTATTGTTACAAACCACATATATATTGTGTTATGTAGTATACACCCTTAAGGGAGATGATTATTGATACAAACCACATACATATTGTGTTATGTAGTATACACCCTTAAGGGAGGTATTTATTGATACAAACCACATATATATTGCGTTATGTAGTATACACCCTTAAGAGATATAACTATTGATACAAACTACATATATATTGCGATATGTAATATACGCCCTTAAGGGAGGTATTTATTGATACAAACTACATATATATTGCGTTATGTAATATACAACCTTAAGAGAGATAAGTATTAATACAAACCACGTGTATATTGTGTTACGTAGAGGGATAACTCTTGTACAAATCTCAGGTAAACTGTGTGACGTAGCATACATTCTTAAGAGGGATAACTCTTATACAAATCTCAGATTAACATCCTTAAAGGAAGTTACTAATACAGATCACAGGTAAATGACAAGTATACTTACCGAGTATTACGTAAATATAGGGAGTCCCGGGGGTGAAACTCCAGCACGGTTAAAACCTGTGTGTATTAGCTTCTATAGATCCTCCTATAATCAGTGCTGATTTGGTGATAACATCTACATACCACTGAAAATAACTTCATCTGATACAAAATGAACAAGACGCCACACTAGTCTTTTTTTTTTACACCACATCAGTCCAAACGTTAGTCTTTTGTACTTAGCGTTTCCATCCGTCATAACAAGATGTCGTTTTTAAAGTTGTGTTTTAATATAAAGCAATCCTTTTAAAGTAGGTCAATGTCACTAGTTAAACATGCTTGACAAGTCTTCACCCGAGGAAGCTTCTGATCAAATATTGAGAACGTATGTGAAGAAACATTTGATCCCCGTGACCTTAAAGAAAGCCGCGATTACTCCTTTGAACATCTTTTTCACTCAGGCATGCTACTGACATAACAATGTTGGTAATGTGGGCTAGATTTTTTCTAGTTTTAAGGTTTAGTCATTTAAACTTTCAGGAAAGCAGAATCAAGACTTTAACACACATGTATGTACCGAATATTTCATCATTTTTACCTTGAAACTGGGTCAGTGTAATTAACATTGTTGAAGACCAGCATACCACTGACAAAACTTACTTCGGCAGAGGGCGAGTTAACTAACTTAAACAAACTGGTACAGGCCAAAGATTTCAACACATTTGCTCCAGGTGGAAGAATGTCAATATGCAATTGACTGGCTTTCAAGCTTTCGAGCAATCACGATTGATGTCAAATATCCTGCCCAACTGTTATGTCATCTTGTTTTCGTTGCGGTGAAGATGTTCCGTGTTTGAAGGACCAGATGCACATAGGGCCCGTATCACTCATCTGGCTAGGTTTATCAGAAAATACTTTATAAGATGCAGATAAGAATTTTAAAAGGTTAAGTCTATTTTTCCTCTGACTTATTGAGATGAAGTCATTTTTTTTCTATTTGTTTATGAAAAAATGATTTTTTAGACCAAAATTTGGTCAACACCCCTTTATCCCTATGAAAGGATTTTATTAAGTATTTACTAAATTTACCCAAACTGGGCCCCCACCACTCACCAAAGCTTCAGGTCTAGACCAATCATCAAGGAAAAAAAGGTTCCTCTTCCCCAGAGAATCCTGATATAATACCTTCAACCCAACATATGAATAGTTAAGCGTTTCCTCAAAGAGTTACGCCCCTTTGCTACCAGGAGTGTGTGGCCTTTTGCGCTTTTTATCCAATTGTGCTACAGACCAACGCAGAATCCCATTGTTTATTTCTTCATTCGGCCCCTTCACTCAGGTCCCATATTCACAATCTGTACAAATTGAATCCTTCACCTAACGTTACTAATTTAGCCGAAATGTCTTTGTCGCAACAGTATTCTAAAGACTTCCTCATTCCACGCCCCTCCGTCCCACGAGATACTGTTAATAATACAAAACTGGGCCCCCTTCCCATACAGCATGCTCGGAACAAAATTTGGCTTATAGCGTGGTGTAGAAACCAAAAGGACAAATGTCACGGTTGTGAAATGAATAAGAATACAGGAATGAGACCTTTCAGTCATTTTCAAACTAGTGCCTTATGGTCAACTACAAATATTAAAATGAATCGGGGATTTTTTCCAAAGCGGATTCAATTACTACTGCGATAACAGAAAATGTCCCTGTGCCACAGATGTAGGGCAATTTGAATAGGTTGGCCACGTAGCCGAGTGACAGGTCAAACAATGACGGCTTCCAAGCATGACAATATGGAGTCATGGGCAAAATGGGTCATAACCAATATTTGACAAAGCTTTGAAAGTTGAAATTCAAGGCTTGCCGTGATCAAGTATAGAACACCGACAGGTCAGTAAGTCCCCATCATGTAGCTATACAACCCCTAATCATAAAGAACCCATCTGCTCAATACGCAAAGGTTGATGATAGACACCTTAACTTCAACAAAAGGCACATGGTACCTGTCTGGCTAATCAAATTAAATTCAGTCAGGTTGTGGTCAAACGAAAGTCTAACCCACCGTTTATACAAGTCTCGTTCACCAAAGGTTGTTTCAGACTAAATTTGGGTAAAATCTAACCATTCCTACAGGAGTAGGATTTCAAAACAATTGCTACTATGCCACCATGGGGCCTGTCCTTGGTGCTCCGAGACCCTCCGTCTATACGACATAGATTTTCCATCCCCAAAGAATGCTTCTGACCAAACTTCGCCAACATCCCACATTCCTTCATGACTAGTAGGAATTGTAGAGGAAGTTGGCAAACAGATGGCCGCCAGTCAACTACTAACAAATACAAGGAAGTAAAACATTATGGACTTTCAGCATCTGATGATTTGTTAATTCTGACCAACTTTGTTTGCTTCATAAAATCATAAAATGTTAATTAGTGAAAAATATCAAATTTAACCTTGAAATTTGAAGCCAAATTTCACCCCGTGACCTTGAGCCTTCTGACTTCTCACATCTGACCAACTTTGCTTCATGTCATGAAATTATCAGATAACATATATAATTTGACCATGTCCCTTAGACCTGATGAATTTGACCTTTGATATCTCTTTCAGACCCAAGTATGTGTTCTGCGAAATGAATATTTCCACCAAATTTTGTGTGAATTGGTCAATAAATTATTAAGTTGTGAGGACTGAATCTGTGGATAGCCAGGCGTAGGGATGGACCCACAGAGTGATATATATATATATATATATATGGCACCCATACCTTTAACATGAAATAATAATTACAGACATCTCTTCAAAAACATGACACAGCAATGCCAGACAACAGTGGTCAGACATACATTGATAACAGAAAACATGATGTAAGGTTCTCAATTTCATTATTTTTATTGATTTTTTTTGTCATAATTTTTCGTTTTATTGTTGACTTGGCTATGTACAATAAGCTAATGATCAATGTACAGATGTCAAGTGGATGTAAGTAGATTCTCACTAATCTCCCTTCCATCAGCCATACACAGCTCCTAACACACTCTGGTTACTAGCTACAGGAAGTCCCAGTCCTTTTTCAATAATCCATTTGTTTTTGGAGACTTATCAATTTTTACACATTTTCATCTCAAATTTCTATCGAAGAAATGGTGTGTGTTTTGATTTTAAAACTGGACGGAAAAATATTTAAGCTGTAACTACAAATAGCAACTTTAAAATGAAATCTTAATTGAATAGTTTGAATGAAATATTCAAATATTTTTTCTTCATAAACTCTTCAGCATACTTGACAAAAATCACTTAGCAATAGTCTGTAGTCTTTCATCACTGGAGCTATTGAGGAATTTTATTTCAGTAGCACTATCTCAAGTGTAAGAATAAAGAGCTGTCAGGGTTACACAAGAAAATAACTTGTACGGTTTGTACAATAAAAGAACTAAGATCACAATACCTGCCTTTATAACAGTAAAAATACTTCCTATTTATCACAAACTTCATTCCTCTAGTCGATCTATTTAAAAGTCTGTGATAAGAAATTATTACTCATACCAGAAATCCAGAGGCACATGCTATTTAGGTACATGTATATGTAAATAAAAAATTGAAAGAAGACAACTTTAAAAAAAAAAACCTGTTTTCTCACCTAATTTCATCCTTACATGTCATGCTAGATTGTAGATGGAGTTCACTCATCATAAAGCCTTATCTAGTTTACTCATTATAAGGTTTTCTATGCCCTACAATAAGAGATGTGATCACCATGTTGGCTCTCACCTCGCAACTCAAGCACTTACAACCTTGAACTAATTATCCCATTGTTAATTAACCCCAACCTTGAGACCCCAGCACTCGGCAACCCTCTACTGGTGACCCCATTGTTAATTAACCCTGACCTAGTGACCTAAGCACTCAGCAATCCTCCACTGGTGACCCCAATGTTAATCAACTCTGACCAAGTGACCCCAGCACTCAGCAACCCTCCAGTTTAATTAACCCTAACCTTGAGACCCCAGCACTCAGCAGCCCTCCACTGGTGACCCCAATGTTAATTAATCCTGACCTAGTTACCCTAGCACTCAACAACCCTCCAGTTTAATTAACCCTGACCTTGCGACCTCAGCACTTAGCAATCCTCTACTGGTGACCCCATTGTTAATTAACCCTGACCTAGTGACTCCAGCACTCAGCAACCCTCCACTGATGACTCCACTGTTAATTAACCCTACCCTTGAGACCCCAGTGTTCATTAACTCTAGAGTGGTGACCCCTGTGTTGACTACCTCTGACCTTGTGACCACAGAACTCCGCACCCTTCAATGATGACTGCAGCTCTATGACACCAGAACACTTTTGTAACGGAATAAATTAAGACACATGAGAACATAAACAACCAGACAATTAACAGACAGCGTAGGTATTTATCATAACATGTTAGTGGTCCTGCCACATATAAGTAGATATCAAATGTTACTTTTCAACAGGTCACCAAGTTTCAATTTTTCTAGGTTTTCCTGAATTTGTTCACTGACCCTATACAAAATTTCTTTATATCATCAAATCAATCGTACATTTTACCACTTCAACATCATTTTCATTTTCAAGACAAAATTCTCCTAATAACTATAAAAAAAACTGTTCTTTTCTTTGAATTTATAGTTTTATGATTTCTCACAACATCTGAAAATTAATCATAATCAAAAAGCACACTCAACATTACATCATTGTAGCCACAGGACACCAACAAATTAGTTACAATTCTTCTTTATAAAGAGGAATCATTATGCACAAAGTCCAAACCATCCACTGCCTTGTCTAAAGTGTATGATCTAAACTGGACGTCAGAGGCAGCTGTATTCAACTACTTACTACAAATGGTCAGCCTTATTGCTCTGTATCCCCAGCTGCTAAGCTGTAAAACAATTTCAATATTGAAAGGAAATGCTTTCTTTTTTATTTCACTTCTTTGATTCACATAACCAGGTATAATTTGAGAATCGGCTTGTATGAAATTAGACAGTGCGGCTCTAAATAATCATCTAAAGAAAAAGATCTCCGAGGAATCTTGGCACCCACCATTATTTGATCTTTATTTGTTCTTTAAAAGTTGAATCTTTTTCTTTCCCATTTTCTCTTCTCTCCTCTGTTTATCCTCCTTAGGATACGAAATCTGAACATACCTTTGCAGAAATAGCGATAATAATCTTTCATTGCCAAGTCCCCTGTCAGCAATTTTGATTTTATGACCAGTCTCAACATCAAGTCGGTACAACTAGGTATGTAAGGGGAACGAACCTACATATGAAATTTAGGAGATCCATCCAGCACTTCTCAAGAAATAGCAACAACTCAAACTGTTTAGATGGATGGAGGATGGACATAGCCTACCATCATCAGATGGTCATCTATAAAGAAACAAAAATACCCTTCTTTATTCCGTTTGAAACAATTTAATTTCTTATTGTTTGAAGGTTTAACAGCAACTGATAAAGTTGAAATGTTTGCAAATTTGAGGTGGTGTAAAGACCTCAACACATTTGATTTTCCTACATTTCATCTCCAGTTTTATCACAATACCAAAGTCTCTTGTAAAGCAGAGAAGTGTCTACACTCTTGTAGCACATATAATAAAACTTTACAAATACTTCATCAATCAGGCATCAAACATCCAGATCAACCATTAAACGTCCTTAAAAATAAATTATTTGATATACAATATCAAAATGAAAAACATCAACAAATAACAATTTTTCACATGTTGTTGTCGACATCAACAAATCAGCTATACATCCTGTAGCACTCAATTTTAAAAAATCACAAACATAAACATCCACAACACCTGGAGCAATTTGTATTACAATTCAAATGTATTTCATTTTAAAACAAAATTTAAAAATGTGACTTCAAATGTGTTTGTTCTGGACATCTCAGATTGCCTCCATTCTACTTCTTTACTTTTACTGACATTCATTTCTAAAGAGCACTATCAGAAACATTTGTTTAAGTATCCTTTAAAACTTTAAATTTTTATATGAACTGATTTAATTAGGCAATAATTTCCCAGTTCATGCTGTAGACTGGCTGGAGAAGCTACAAGGGACAGCCTCTGACCATTAACGAGTGATCTAAAATACCAAGTCCAAAAAAGACACTTTCAAATACTTCAGAAATGAACACAATTTACAAGATTATTGGCTACAGCTGTTGTTTGGACACATCTACCAGACTCTCTGTAGTACTAGCCATCATGTCATTTCTCACTTATCCCACTATACACACCAACAATCTCTCTCGCTCTCTTACAGGCAAAACAAACTTACAAAAAACATGATGTGAGATTCTCTGTCAGACATGTTCTTCACATCAGCAACAGATGACGATGATAAAATGAAATGTCTTACTGGCAATGAGTTCATGAAAGTCTGGAATCCTATCACGACAATGTAGGGATGATGTCCTCACATGCAATGCACTCCTATATATCAGCCAATCTTTACAGCCAGATATATGTATGTGTTGGACACTGCAAGAACCTGATTTTGTTAAGCACAGTTCCTGGACCAGGAACACAAATGTAATGAGACAAGAATGATATATCAGCTGCTCCACTTTCGTCAGTGTTTCCCGTGCGACTCACTGCCTGTATACCCATCATTACTGTGGTCATCAGCAAGTCTAGGGTCTTTTAAACCACTATAGGATCGTCTATTATCAAAATTGTCACTTTTTCTTTTCCGCTCGGAATGAGAAATGTAACTGAAATCAGGAAACAAAAGGATTTCTAATATATCATATATATTTAACTTTTTATTTATCAGAAATGAAGTGTCCTTAACATATAAAAGTTGGAGTTATATTTGTCTTAATGAAATGTAAAAGGGGAAAATATTGGAATATCTGAAACTTAAGCCTACAATGTCCAGATACCTACTTATCACCACTTGGTCTTGTGAAACTTCTTGACGAGCCTCCACCACCTCCGTAGTCACGGTGACCAAACTGACCATAGTCTGGCCGTTGGTAGTCTCCACCTCGGTCATTCCTATCATTGCGATCACTGCGGTAGTCTGACCTGTATTTACCAGTGCTGTGATGATCCTGCCGGTCATGGTGGTGAAATGTAGAGGTGTTGTCACGATGAAATGCTTTCTGACTTCCAGACGAATATTCCCTCCTACTATCACTGTTAAATCTGAATAAATATTGGACAATTACAAAATTAAAATAAACTGAAGCATGAATCTCCACTTGAGATACACTACTCACAACTCGCTTTTAATGGCAATTAATTGTCCTCAAAACAAACCATAGATTTATCATATATGCTGTAGCTTTGCATCCTGCCTTAATGAGCACACACTTAAGTCGTGTATTATAACACAAAATTTACACACTCAAGTCATATATTATAACACAACATTTACACACTCGAAGTTGTGTATTATAACACAACATTTACACACTCAAGTCGTGTATTATAACACAACATTTACACACTCAAGTCGTGTATTATAACACAACATTTACACACTCAAGTCGTGTATTATAACACAACATTTACAATGAAAATTGGTATTCAATACCAAATTTATGTCTAAAATTTCATAAATTTGATTTGATCATGAAAGTAAATCAATCATGTGTGAAGAGAGTTGGTATGCTTGTTATATTGGAAATTCCATGTTTACATTAATTCAACAGAGACATTGGTTCATTTGCCGACTGAAACCTTGATGTTACATCTAAGGCATCTGTTAACTTTACCCATACACATATCTACATCTAAATGTGGTAAATTTCATTGACTAACCTATGATGACTATCTCCAGCTCCATATTTGTGTTCGCTGGCATGAAATCCCCTGTAACCATCTTGGTGTTGCTTTGGTCGTTTATAGGTGCCAGCCCCACCACCTTCACCATACCTAAACAGCCAAATTAAATGCTCCAGTTAGTGATACAAACAAACCTATCGCCATCTTATTCTTCCTCTGTCAACAAAATTACTACCATTTACAAAATGTTTTTGTGAAAAAATCTAGAAACTTCTCTTTTGTGTGTACAGAGAGCACCACTGTCCTTTCAACTGCATGTCACAGCCATGTACGAAAAGCTGTTGTTAGTGCAATATTCTCAAACTCGTGTGTGGCCGATATATTCTGACAGAATACAAAACAAACACACCTATTATTCTCTTTTTCTTCTTTCTTTTACAATAAAATTTCCACAAAAAGGGAAAGATTAAAGCATCTTTTCCATTACACTCATAAATTATGTAATATATAATGTTATCCATCAGCAATACACCAACCACCAACACAGCATTCAAATTTTCTGAACAGATAAAGAAAATAATGTACTCGTATGTGGATACATGCATTTAGTTCAAACAACATGCCTTACTCTGATTACATCATACATGCCATGCAAAGTCCTACTTCATAAAGACCTAAACTCCTACCATCCTACTTCATAAAGACCTAAACTCCTACCATCCTTTTTCATAAAGGCCTAAACTCCTACCATCCTATTTCATAAAGACCTAAACTCCTACCATCCTATTCCATAAAGATCTAAACTCCTACCATCCTATTCCAAAAAGACCTCAACCCCAACCATCCTATTTCATAAAGACCTAAACTCCTACCATCCTATTCCATAAAGACCTAAACTCCTATCATCCTATTCCACAAAGACCTAAACTCCTACCATCCTATTCCATAAAGACCTAAACTCCTACCATCCTACTTCATAAAGACCTAAACTCCTACCATCCTACTTCATAAAGACCTAAACTCCTACCATCCTACTCCATAAAGACCTAAACTCCTACCATCCTATTCCATAAAGACCTAAACTCCTACCATCCTATTCCATAAAGACCTAAACTCCTACCATCCTACTTCATAAAGACCTAAACCCCTACCATCCTACTTCATAAAGACCTAAACTCCTACCATCCTATTCCATAAAGACCTAAACTCCTATCATCCTATTCCACAAAGACCTAAACTCCTACCATCCTATTCCATAAAGACCTAAACTCCTACCATCCTACTTCATAAAGACCTAAACCCCTACCATCCTACTTCATAAAGACCTAAACTCCTACCATCCTATTCCATAAAGACCTAAACCCCTACCATCCTATTCCATAAAGACCTAAACTCCTACCATCCTATTCCATAAAGACATAAACCCCTACCATCCTATTCCATAAAGACCTAAACTCCTACCATCCTACTTCATAAAGATCTAAACTCCTACCATCCTATTCCATTAAGACCTAAACTCCTACCATCCTACTTCATAAAGACCTAAACTCCTACCATCCTACTTCATAAAGACCTAAACTCCTACCATCCTACTCCATAAAGACCTAAACTCCTACCATCCTATTCCATAAAGACCTAAACTCCTACCATCCTATTCCATAAAGACCTAAACTCCTACCATCCTACTTCATAAAGACCTAAACCCCTACCATCCTACTTCATAAAGACCTAAACTCCTACCATCCTACTTCATAAAGATCTAAACTCCTACCATCCTATTCCATAAAGACCTAAACTCCTACCATCCTACTTCATAAAGACCTAAACTCCTACCATCCTACTTCATAAAGACCTAAACCCCTACCATCCTATTCCATAAAGACCTAAACCCCTACCATCCTATTCCATAAAGACCTAAACTCCTACCATCCTAACCCCTACCATCCTATTCCATAAAGACCTAAACCCCTACCATCCTATTCCATAAAGACCTAAACTCCTACCATCCTAACCCCTACCATCCTATTCCATAAAGACCTAAACCCCTACCATCCTATTCCATAAAGACCTAAACTCCTACCATCCTACTTCATAAAGACCTAAACTCCTACCATCCTACTTCATAAAGACCTAAACTCCTACCATCCTACTTCATAAAGACCTAAACTCCTACCATCCTACTTCATAAAGACCTAAACTCCTACCATCCTACTTCATAAAGACCTAAACTCCTACCATCCTATTTCATAAAGACCTAAACTCCTACCATCCTAATCCATAAAGACCAAAATTCCTACCATCAAATTGGATCCATACCATCAAGAAAAGGCTGTACAATTTCAAATTTGACTCTCCTATGCAAATAATAATCACTCTAAATAATCTGAGAAAATGGAGGATTAATTCTGCATACAACAGCAGTTGTTATAAAGATAATAGAAAAAGAGAGAAAACCTTTAAATACACTTCAAATAAAACACAATCTACATTGTTAAGAATAGTTCACACAGTTCAGATAGTGAAAAATTGCAATGAACACAAAAAAAACAGTGTGGTCCTCACATCTTTCTAGGAAACTAACGCTGATAAACAGCGGACTTTTGAGATCATATATTTCAACACAATTAACGTAATTCAGGTGAAAAAGGATATATTGGGGAAATTCGGCCTTTGAGATTTCACCAAGAACCCTAGAAAAATAGTGAGGTCCCAAATGTGAAGGTTCACTGCTAGTAGGGGCTGGCATGAACACAACTTGCCTATTTCTGGCTGGATCGTCAGGCCGGGCTAGTGGACTGGCTTGTGTCCACCTATCAGCGGGACTAGAGTCAGTGCGCTGATTGTCTCGCACTCCTCTCGACACTGCACTAGGCCAGGGACCATTACTATTACAACTGAACCACGAGACAGAAATGGAAAGAAAAACAAAAATAATTTTAACAACAAAAAACATTGACTTGCGAAAGGGATGGGAATACAGATAGCACAACACTACAGCGATGGAACATACCAACACACCCTATATCTAAGTTTTACATAGTTTACAGGCAATATACAAGAGCATGTACTTTGTGCATTCAAACAAAAAGAAAAGAAAAAATAGTTTTGTCAGATCTAGGAAAAAAGTGTAAGAAGCAAAGGAAACTGAGCAGTGAAATGGAAAGATAAACACTGATTAAATAACAGACACAATGAGCAATGAATGATTATACAGATATTAACAGCAACATTGAGAGATTAATGGTGATATATAGAGATCCATAGTGATATAGAGAGATTAGAAGTGACAGAGAGATTAATGGTGATATATAGAGATCCATAGTGATATAGAGAGATTAGAAGTGACAGAGAGATTAATGGTGATATATAGAGATCCATAGTGATATAGAGAGATTAGAAGTGACAGAGAGATTAATGGTGATATATAGAGATCCATAGTGATATAGAGAGATTAGAAGTGACAGAGAGATTAATGGTGATATATAGAGATCCATAGTGATATAGAGAGATTAGAAGTGACAGAGAAATTAATGGTGATATATAGAGATCCATAGTGATATAGAGAGATTAGAAGTGACAGAGAGATTAATGGTGATATATAGAGATCCATAGTGATATAGAGAGATTAGAAGTGACAGAGAGATTAATGGTGATATATAGAGATCCATAGTGATATAGAGAGATTAGAAGTGACAGAGAGATTAATGGTGATATATAGAGATCCATAGTGATATAGAGAGATTAGAAGTGACAGAGAAATTAATGGTGATATATAGAGATCCATAGTGATATAGAGAGATTAGAAGTGACAGAGAGATTAATGGTGATATATAGAGATCCATAGTGATATAGAGAGATTAGAAGTGACAGAGAGATTAATGGTGATATATAGAGATCCATAGTGATATAGAGAGATTAGAAGTGAGAGTGATTAATGGTGATATATAGAGATTCATAGTGATATAGAGAGATTAGAAGTGACAGAGAGATTAATGGTGATATATAGAGATCCATAGTGATATAGAGAGATTAGAAGTGAGAGTGATTAATGGCAGTAGTGAAATGAACAGGGATAGAGATTAATGGTGCAAGAGAGATTAGTGATTATATAGAGAGATTGACAGTGTTTGAGAGATTAATGGTTTTAAAGGGGGATTAAGGGCATTAGATAAACGGTGATAGAGAGATTAACAGTTTTGGGAGATTAATGGTGATAGATTAATGGTGTTTGAGAGATTAATGGTGATGAAGGATTAACTGTAATTAATGGTGATAAAGAGGGATCAATAGTAATGAAGGATTAACTGTAATTAATGGTGATAAAGAGGGATCAATAGTAATGAAGGATTAACTGTAATTAATGGTGATAAGAGGGATCAATAGTAATGAAGGATTAACTGTAATTAATGGTGATAAAGAGGGATCAATAGTAATGAAGGATTAACTGTAATTAATGGTGATAATGAGGGATCAATAGTAATGAAGGATTAACTGTAATTAATGGTGATAAGAGGGATCAATAGTAATGAAGGATTAACTGTAATTAATGGTGATAAGAGGGATCAATAGTAATGAAGGATTAACTGTAATTAATGGTGATAAGAGGGATCAATAGTAATGAAGGATTAACTGTAATTAATGGTGATAAGAGGGATCAATAGTAATGAAGGATTAACTGTAATTAATGGTGATAAGAGGGATCAATAGTAATGAAGGATTAACTGTAATTAATGGTGATAAGAGGGATCAATAGTAATGAAGGATTAACTGTAATTAATGGTGAGAAAGAGGGATCAATAGTAATGAAGGATTAACTGTAATTAATGGTGATAATGAGGGATCAATAGTAATGAAGGATTAACTGTAATTAATGGTGATAAGAGGGATCAATAGTAATGAAGGATTAACTGTAATTAATGGTGATAAGAGGGATCAATAGTAATGAAGGATTAACTGTAATTAATGGTGATAAGAGGGATCAATAGTAATGAAGGATTAACTGTAATTAATGGTGATAAAGAGGGATCAATAGTAATGAAGGATTAACTGTAATTAATGGTGATAAGAGGGATCAATAGTAATGAAGGATTAACTGTAATTAATGGTGATAAGAGGGATCAATAGTAATGAAGGATTAACTGTAATTAATGGTGATAAGAGGGATCAATAGTAATGAAGGATTAACTGTAATTAATGGTGATAAGAGGGATCAATAGTAATGAAGGATTAACTGTAATTAATGGTGATAAGAGGGATCAATAGTAATGAAGGATTAACTGTAATTAATGGTGATAAGAGGGATCAATAGTAATGAAGGATTAACTGTAATTAATGGTGATAAGAGGGATCAATAGTAATGAAGGATTAACTGTAATTAATGGTGATAAAGAGGGATCAATAGTAATGAAGGATTAACTGTAATTAATGGTGATAAAGAGGGATCAATAGTAATGAAGGATTAACTGTAATTAATGGTGATAAAGAGGGATCAATAGTAATGAAGGATTAACTGTAATTAATGGTGATGAAAAGGAGGACCTCATCAGAGAGACCCTGTATTATATAACTTTGTACAAGATGTGTATAGAACAAGATTGTCAGGAAGAAACATCATTTTTCTCCTGTTTACTCCTGTCATCTGGTGAAATAAATGTACTTAAAACAATACTCAACATTGTGAAACATTTTCAACTCTGCCAGTTACCCACTATATATTTGTTCATCATACCCAAGATAGCTGTATAAGCATGTTTGACAGTACTTGACAATGGTAACCTGTTGATAGTGACAACTGCTTTCTAGAATATTTACTCAAGGGTGCAAACAAAATGAAAACAAAACTCAACAATATCCACTGAATAATGCATACACTAGAAAGTAAATTTTGAGAAGATGCAAGCTGTTTAACTTCAGTGTTGGGTCAACATATACAGTCATTAGGGACATTTATATTAGTAGGTCTGGGATGATGTAGCGTCTGAATACAATCGTTTTAGTAGGTAAGGAAAATCTGGTGTCTAAAGGTCAAATTTATACATCCTCCATATTTTCTTTTGTCTCTAACCTCTTAATTAGAATTTTGGTAAATTGGAAACCAGCTTTACATGAAATGTACAGAAATGTGAGAAAAAGAAGAGACATGGCCCTTGAGATAGGAATAAAGTTCTTTTCCTCTTTTACCTGAGATTTTTCTGTATTTCTTAGTTCTTTATTGTCCACACTAAAGTGATATTATCAGATGTTGGATTATATAAAATAATATATAGTGTTTCCAATAAATGTTACAATAACTGAAAAGTGACATTAACCAATGTGATATTAAGAGGTTTCCGGTGTTATCTACTTTCAATCTGTACATCAACATGTTCCTATGTGAGATCAACACTTTCTATCATCAAATTACAAAAAGCTCACTTTCAGTTTTATAACTTCACTTATGTTTACTAAGCTTAGTACTGTTTTCTTATGGAATGTATATTCCTATAACTTCAGAGAATGTTAAACATATACAGTATCATGGTCTTCTATTTCCCAACATTTTCACATGCAGTTACTTTCACTATCATAATGGTGGATAGAATTCTCTAGCTTATCTTTAAACTGAAACATTCCAACACATCACAATTGGAGATATTTATTCTTTCAGCCTCTCTTCACTAATTGCTTTCTTAAAATTAACTAAAAAAAATCCACTTTTCAGAAAGCATTCCCTTGAATACTTAAGAATTTTAAAGCATATATTACTTTAGACATGCATCTCTGTAAATCACTGCAGATAAGAGGGTATATAGCAACTCAATACCCTCACACCAGATATAGGATTAACACCAGATATAGGATTAACTACACAGGACACAACTTCACATATAACAATGCAGATATTACCACAGCCCATATATAACTAACTGATGCTTACTTTTTGTGATCTTTACTGCTCCAGTGGTCCCCACTGTTATGTTTCTGAGAGTGTTCCTTTTTCACATGGTCTACATGGTCTACTGTCCGCTTGTGGCCAGATTTGTCGTGAGAGGTGGTGGAGTGATGGTGTCGCTCCTGAGAATGAGGCTCAATCTTGAATGACAAAACACTTGGTATTTAAAAAAAAACGGTAATACATATTCCTGTTCACATTCACTCACAACGATGAAGTCAGTCTGACAACAAAAAATATTCCAGTTCACAGTCACATACTACAAAAATATTCCAGTTCACAGTCACATACTACAAAAATATTCCTGTTTACAGTCACATACTACAAAATATTCCTGTTTACAGTCACATACTACAAAAATATACCCGTTTACAGTCACATACCACAAAAATATTCCTGTTTACAGTCACATACTACAAAAATATTCCTGTTTACAGTCACACACTACAAAAATATTCCTGTTCACAGTCACACACCACAAAAATATTCCTGCTCACAGTCACACACCACAAAAATATTCCTGTTTACAGTCACACACCACAAAAATATTCCTGTTTTCAGTCACACACCACAAAAATATTCCTGTTTACAGTCACACACCTCAAAAATATTCCTGTTCAGTCACACACCACAAAAATATTCCTGATCAGTCACACACCACAAAAATATTCATGTTCAGTCACATACAGCAACAAGGGGCCCATAGACATTAACAGTCACATGTAGAAATGGTCCATCAGTCCCCAGCTTTGGGGCAGACAGAACACAATACTTGTATATGCATACTTGCAAAGTTTTTACTGTTTCTAAGTTTGAAGGCCGAATTTTCAATTTAACAGAACTGATAAAACTGTCTGTTATTGTAGTTTAGCATAATTGACCGCTGTGACTTTGAATGAAGGTCAAGGTCATTCGTTTGAGCAACCCTAATAGCCCTTCATCCCATAATGCTACTAGCCCAATATCATGACTCTGGGTCGTTTGGCTATTGAGAAGAAGTTGAAAATGTAAATTGTTTATAAGGGTCAACGCAACACATCAGACAGAGGCGATTTGTCTCAGGTGACCTAAAAACTAAAATTATCCATGTTCACAGTCACATACATCAAAGTTCTTGTTTCTTATCTACACTAAATAAAAAAAGATTATTTCTAGCTAGGTTTCATGCTAAACTAGACATTTTTATACTTTAACAATCAACTCACATCTTCCTTCTCTTTGTCCTCTTCCCGTTTTCTGTAGGCGCGTTTATACAACTTGTGTAGTTTTTGATCATCAAATTCTGTGAACTTTGACACAAATATCCAAAGATGACTAGAGAGAGAGCAAAAAAGAAATTCAATATGATATGAAGTTACTTGTGAGCAGTAATTCATTAAAGATTCTAACTAGATGAGTCAGAGTGACATGAACATTCGGCAAAGTTATTCAATAGTGGTCTTACTGTTTTTTCCCTTTTCTATTTCAAAATCTTTATAAAGTTAAATAGCCATTAATTATTCTAGAAAAAATTATTTGATGACAACCAAATTAGATTTTGACCAGCAAAATAATATTATACAACTGCAAACAATGTTCTATAGTCATTAGAGTTTATGAACGGAGATAAAATTAGGATGGAATGATGAACACAGGTAACCATGAAATTGCAACAGTATGAAAATATTTTTCATAATTTGCTTCTGATCTATCGACAAAGAAAATCACTTGTGCCTTGGTGCAAAATGACATTTGTTATCAAAATATTGTTCTGTTTTTAACACAAACTTGAAATGCAACAACATAACAAACCTCTTTAATTTCACTAAAATGTAAGAAATGCATATCTGTAAGTGTTTGCTGGTACTTTACGACTGCGAAATCCGTTTTTAGTGAATTACATGACTTCATACCTTCTCCATTGTTTGATGATGTCCGGGTCATTGTACTCTGCCAGACATTCATTGATGCGGTCTCCAATTTTGAGAAGACAATGTTTGGTGTGCACAACCTGCTCTTTCTCAGTGAGCCCCTCGTCTGGGTTGTCTAGACGCTTCAGAGCACGTTTTACCGGTCTCATCATCTCCTTACACTGTAACATGTAGCAACACTTTGACGTTATCAACAGAGTTAGTGTTATCTCCTTACACTGTAACATGTAGCAACACTTTGACGTTATCAACAGAGTTACTGTTATCTCCTTACACTGTAACATGTAGCAACACTTTAACGTTATCAACAGAGTTACTGTTATCTCCTTACACTGTAACATGTAGCAACACTTTGACGTTATCAACAGAGTTACTGTTATCTCCTTACACTGTAACATGTAGCAACACTTTGACGTTATCAACAGAGTAAATGTTATCTCCTTACACTGTTACATGTGGCAACACTTTGACGTTATCAACAGAGTAAGTGTTATCTCCTTACACTGTTACATGTGGCAACACTTTGACGTTATCAACAGAGTAAGTGTTATCTCCTTACACTGTTACATGTGGCAACACTTTGACGTTATCAACAGAGTAAGTGTTATCTCCTTACACTGTTACATGTGGCAACACTTTGACGTTATCAACAGAGTAAATGTTATCTCCTTACACTGTTACATGTGGCAACACTTTGACGTTATCAACAGAGTAAATGTTATCTCCTTACACTGTTACATGTGGCAACACTTTGACGTTATCAACAGAGTAAGTGTTATCTCCTTACACTGTTACATGTGGCAACACTTTGACGTTATCAACAGAGTAAGTGTTATCTCCTTACACTGTTACATGTGGCAACACTTTGACGTTATCAACAGAGTAAATGTTATCTCCTTACACTGTTACATGTGGCAACACTTTGACGTTATCAACAGAGTAAGTGTTATCTCCTTACACTGTTACATGTGGCAACACTTTGACGTTATCAACAGAGTTACTGTTATCTCCTTACACTGTTACATGTGGCAACACTTTGACGTTATCAACAGAGTAAGTGTTATCTCCTTACACTGTTACATGTGGCAACACTTTGACGTTATCAACAGAGTTACTGTTATCTCCTTACACTGTTACATGTGGCAACACTTTGACGTTATCAACAGAGTAAGTGTTATCTCCTTACACTGTTACATGTGGCAACACTTTGACGTTATCAACAGAGTAAATGTTATCTCCTTACACTGTTACATGTGGCAACACTTTGACGTTATCAACAGAGTAAGTGTTATCTCCTTACACTGTTACATGTGGCAACACTTTGACATTATCAACAGAGTAAGTGTTATCTCCTTACACTGTAACATGTGGCAACACTTTGACGTTATCAACAGAGTTACTGTTATCTCCTTACACTGTTACATGTGGCAACACTTTGACGTTATCAACAGAGTAAGTGTTATCTCCTTACACTGTTACATGTGGCAACACTTTGACGTTATCAACAGAGTTACTGTTATCTCCTTACACTGTTACATGTGGCAACACTTTGACGTTATCAACAGAGTAAGTGTTATCTCCTTACACTGTTACATGTGGCAACACTTTGACGTTACCAACAGAGTTACTGTTATCTCCTTACACTGTTACATGTGGCAACACTTTGACGTTATCAACAGAGTAAGTGTTATCTCCTTACACTGTTACATGTGGCAACACTTTGACGTTATCAACAGAGTAAGTGTTATCTCCTTACACTGTTACATGTGGCAACACTTTGACGTTATCAACAGAGTAAGTACTACATATATTGTTTAGATATGTTATTTTTCACATGAGATAGCTACAAAAGCATTTTTGCCAGACAGAAATTATCTTCATTTGCGTTGGACTGACCTTGCTGAAGTTGTTAGATAACCACGTATCATATCACCTAAGCTTGGACATTAGATAGTATTTCAACAAACTCACCCTGCTAGAGATGGCCAGTAAATCAGCGAAACTCACCTTAGCTTAGACATTAGATGGTAACTCACCTTAGCTTAGACATTAGATGGTAACTCACCTTAGCGAAGACATTAGATGGTAACTCTGCACCGAATTCCACCTCCATTGCTATTGCCACTGGCTCCTTTTCGGCAGTGATATGCACAGGACCAGATTTGTTCTTCTTGTTTTTCGTCTTTGCTCCCTAAACATGTCAAACAAATTTGCATGATAAATGTTACATAAAAGATTTTGGTTTCTGTAATGTTGAAGGAGTGTACGATACCAAGTAAAATAAGAAATTCCCCATTTTCAGTTTCACTATCAATGTTGAGATGTTTACTAAATATCCAAACACTCTAATATTACCTTTGGTTTCTTTATAAATGTTGTTGAAATGTTCCCTTAATATTTAAACCCCATAGCTCTAATATTTCTTTACACTTCTCTATGAATTTTGAGATGTTTCTAAGAAATCTTTGCCTTACTGTTCTAACCTTCTTTTTCTTTGTTTCTCTATGGAAGTCGAGAGAATCCTTAGTGTCTTCGTCATCTGCCATGTGCGACTTTGCCTCCTTTTCACTACTGTCTTTTTTCTTTCTTTTCTTAACAGGACTGTCTGGAATACTGTCTAGGGTGGTTTCGTCCTTAACAGAGTGATGCTGACCACCATCAGAATCAGACAAGTCTTTTTCTATCACTTCAGCTTTAGATAAAACAGGTTTTCTTTTTCGTTTTGTTTTGGTTGCTGGTGCCTACAGATAAAACCATATGAAATACGATTAAGGGTTTTGAGAGCCAATTCATATACAAGTTTAACTGTTCAATCAATCTTTGTATGAATATACATACAGCACATCATTTAGCTTTTTTTTCTATCTGTACAACAGATATCAGGCCAACCTTGTCATAAATATTTGAATATCAAAATGTGAAATCTTGCAAGAAGAGAAATCTCTGCTTACTATGCCATGCTTCTCGATATCAAACTGTCGTTTGAGCACTTTGAGGAGGTATTCGGCTCGTGTCTGTAAATGTTTGGCCTGCGGTTTGAGGTCCCCACCGTCTGGCAGTATCTATGTGAAATAACAACAAATTGTTTTTAGACTCCAATGTTCTGTTTGTCCAGCAGAGTTGTGTTGCTGTAGCTTTCACTTAATGAATTAAGCTCACCTTATCTATACTTCAGAATGTAAAATTCAGATTGAAAATTTAAGAATTTAAAAACTTTTGAAATAATTTAAAATTAGTGACCAATTAACATCGATGCGTGTTGGATGGATTCTAGATGGGAAAAGGAAGTGGTATATAATGATGTAAAAACTAACATCTGGTCATCACCTAGCAAGGTCACACCGGAGTTGCAACAAACAATCACACCACTACAAGAGGACCCTATATCATACTATACGCAGCCTTAGCGTACCTTGTCATGTAGATTAAGGCAGGGGTCCATCTTTATCGCCTCCCAGCTACCCATGCCATACTCATGGATTCCTTTGAGTAAGTTGCTGTCTTCCTCTATATCCCATGGACAGTCCCAATGGACAGCCTTCACATGTGCAGTCAGACGGTAACTACAAAAAGTTATTCAATATTCATTTCACCTCTTAACAAGAGATCCCAGAGGGATCTTGGCGCCCACCATTTGAGGATCTGTTTTCAGTTCTTGAAGATTTGTTTATTTTTGTTTGTTTGTTACAGGTGTTGTAAATGTTCATGAACTGGTCTTCATTGAATGTACTCAATGATGGCACAAGATATTTTGATTAAGCACCTATTAGCAAATATCATTTGAAAAAGATCCCAAAGTATTATTAGATAGCAGTCAGTTACAGGTGGATAATGGACAATATGTTTGTGCTGTATTACTGTCGACATCCAAGATGGCTGCCTGTGGGCCACCTTGATTTCAAATCAGTCCAAAAAAGGTACAATGCACAACTAGGGACCAAGGGAAACCAATACAATATCTATGAAATATCAGAAGGATCCATCCAGTACTTCCTCAGATATAGCAGTAACAAGATTTTACTCTCAAAATCCAAGATGGCTGCCTGTCAGCCATCTTGAATTCGAATCAGTCAAAAAAAGGTACAATGCACAACTAGGGACCAAGGGGAAACTGCATATGGCATTTGAGAAAGATCCATCCAGTACTTTCCAAGAAATAGCAGTAACAAACTTTTACTTCCAAAATCCAAGATGGCCACCTGTCGTCCATCTTGAATTGGAATCAGTCCAAAAAAGGTACAACGCACAACTAGGGTCTAAGGGGAAACTGCATATGAAATTTGAGAAAGATCCATCAAGTACTTTCTCAGAAATAGCGGTAACAAGAATTGTTTACGGACGGACCACGGACCACGGACGCAGGGTGATTTGAATAACCCACCATCTCATGGTGGGCTAAAAAAACACATTTTTTGAAAGTTTACCATCTCAATTCAATGTTACATCAGATTCTACATCACATAACAACATCACTCCATAAATTTTGTGGGAGTGAGAATGATAAAAAGCCCCCAAAAAACCATAAACATTTGAGACAACTTTGAATTATCAATATATAAATCACTTGTACTCACTTGCTCTTGGCTTCCTTGTTGGAGGGTATTGCTACAGCGAGTGGTTCTAGCTCCTGCTCTGCCTTCATCAAGGACTGGGCATTAACTGTTACACTAGAAATCTTCAGAGTTGGCCCCCTGTGTGTTTTCTTTCCAGCTTCATGTAGATAAAACACTTCAGTCATAACTCTAACATATTATTGACAGATTCCAAAATATACAACTTCTTCACAGCTCACAATAATCAGGACGCATATTGACTTCTTCACAGCTCACAATAATCAGGGACGCACATTGACTTCTTCACAGCTCACAATAATTAGGGACGCACATTGACTTCTTCACAGCTCACAATAATCAGGACGCACATTGACTTCTTCACAGCTCACAATAATCAGGACGCACATTGACTTCTTCACAGCTCACAATAATTAGGGACGCACATTGACTTCTTCACAGCTCACAATAATTAGGGACGCACATTGACTTCTTCACAGCTCACAATAATCAGGACGCACATTGACTTCTTCACAGCTCACAATAATCAGGACGCACATTGACTTCTTCACAGCTCACAATAATTAGGGACGCACATTGACTTCTTCACAGCTCACAATAATTAGGTAACACATTGACTTCTTCACAGCTCACAATAATTAGGGACACACATTGACTTCTTCACAGCTCACAATAATCAGGACGCACATTGACTTCTTCACAGCTCACAATAATAAGGGAACATATTGACTTCTTCACAGCTCACAATAATTAGGACGCACATTGACTTCTTCACAGCTCACAATAATTAGGGAACATATTGACTTCTTCACAGCTCACAATAATTAGGGACGCACATTGACTTCTTCACAGCTCACAATAATTAGGGAACATATTGACTTCTTCACAGCTCACAATAATTAGGGAACATATTGACTTCTTCACAGCTCACAATAATTAGGATGCACATTGACTTCTTCACAGCTCACAATAATTAGGGACACACATTGACTTCTTCACAGCTCACAATAATTAGGGACGCACATTGACTTCTTCACAGCTCACAATAATTAGGACGCACATTGACTTCTTCACAGCTCACAATAATAAGGACGCACATTGACTTCTTCACAGCTCACAATAATTAGGGACACACATTGACTTCTTCACAGCTCACAATAATTAGGGAACACATGTGCCATGTACAATTTACACATTATCTTTTGTCACAAAAATTCCTGCGGCACCATTTTGGATCATCAAATTTGTTCCTACTGCACTAATCCTAAAAGTTTGGGTCCTCTTCTGGCTAATATTGCTGCTTCTACTTCAACTACCCTGTAAGTATTGGTCCCCTTTTAGCTAACATTGCTGCCTCTCCTGTACCTACCCTCAAAGTTTGGGTCCCCTTTTAGCTAACATTGCTGCTTCTACTGTGCCTAGCCTCAAGATTTGGGTCCCCCTTTAGCTAACATTGCTGCCTCTCCTGTACCTACCCTCAAAGTTTGGGTCCCCTTCTAACTTGTTTCTGTGTTCCTCCATTGCCACCTCACAGCTGTGCTTCAATGTTTCAGCCAACCGCTTCAAGTCCGATTCTGACTTCTCCTGGAGTTCTGCATCACACGCCACAGAGTCCAGTCTAACAATAGTATCACAGTTAAAACGGCAGTTTACAAGCATGTGTAACCAGGTAACTTCAAAGTAATTAAACATATTCAATAAAAATTCAAGACTCCTTTAGAATACCACAAAGAAGTTGCCCTACAAACTCCACTAAACAGAATTCTCCTAACTCATGTAAATACCAGCAACTTTTCTATTACAAACATTTTTCAACTAAAGGGACTTCTGTCAGAAAAAACACTGTCATTACCTGGTCATTGGATGTCCAAACTTCTTGAAGCTTTTGATGAACCTCCTAATTTCAGAGTCAGTGAATCCCTTCACAGCCTCCTTGGCAATAGTTCTTGGACGACCTCTTTTCTTTGGTCTATCCTCCTCCTCTTCTTCATCACTTGAATCAGACTCATCTGCATCATTCTTCTTTTTCCTCCTTTTCTTGTTTTCGTCTGAATCATATTCTTGTTGGAGCTTGACATAACATAAAATGAGGGTCAAGTTAGAAAAATACACAAAGTTAAATTTTTAGACTTTGCAGTTAAAAAAAATGTTCTTTTATTATTTTGTTTGTACATTGTAACTAAATATTGTGCCTCAAGTTTTTCTATTATGTACTTATTATTCAAAGTATGTTTCTTAAAATTTAACATCTACTTGTGATCACAACATTGTGAAAGATCTGACATCTCTATCTCTAATGTCTATGAGACATGACATCTCTATCTCTGTCTGTGAGACATGACATCTCTCTCTCTGTCTGTGAGACATGACATCTCTCTCTCTGTCTGTGAGACATGACATCTCTCTCTCTAATGTCTGTGAGACATGACATCTCTATCTCTGTCTGTGAGACATGACATCTCTATCTCTGTCTGTGAAGGCTCTGACATCTCTCTCTCTAATGTCTGTGAAACATGACATCTCTCTCTAATGTCTATGAGACATGACATCTCTCTCTCTAATGTCTGTGAAACATGACATTTCTATCTCTGTCTGTGAGACATGATATCTCTATCTCTGTCTGTGAAACATGACATTTCTATCTCTGTCTGTGAAACATGACATTTCTATCTCTGCTGTGAAACATGACATCTCTATCTCTGTCTGTGAGACATGATATCTCTCTCTCTCTCTAATGTCTGTGAGACATGACATCTCTATCTCTGTCTGTGAGACATGACATCTCTCTCTCTCTAATGTCTGTGAGACATGACATCTCTATCTCTGTCTGTGAGACATGACATCTCTCTCTCTCTCTAATGTCTGTGAGACATGACATCTCTATCTCTGTCTGTGAAGGATCCGACATCTCTATCTCTAATGTAACAATAAGCACCTGTTGTATAGTTTTCCTACTGTGGGGTGTGACAGTAAGTACCTGTTGTACAGTTTTCCTACTGTGAGGTGTAACAGTAAGTACCTGTTGTATAGTTTTCCTACTGCGGGGTGGCAGGTTAAGTTCCAGTAATTGTTGCTGTCTCTCCTCCTCCTCAATTCTACGGATGTCACCCTCCGGAATTATTTCATCCCACATTTTACCTGAAATATTCAAAACCTTGAATATACACTGTCTGCAAATCTTTAATTTCAAATTATCAACAATTTTTTTTCAATTTCAGCCTAGGACAAGCATGACAAAAGCTTAACACCACTAAAGAAATGATTGTACAATACTTACCATAATAACTTCACAAATCACAAAACTTTTAACTAAAAAAACTACAGTTATACAGTCTACTTACAATCTATGGCTTATTACTTAAAAAAGGACTTATTTGTTTTAGTCTTAGAGAATGAAGTATGTCTCACTTTATCAAACAACTCTTTTGGCACAACAAGGAATTAACACTTCAAATTTTTCCATGTATTACGTGTAACTTTAGCCTCTTGAACTCCCTAAGCCCCTAAAGCTAACCAGTAATACTAAAGCTAACCAGTAATACTAAAGCTAACCAGTAACACTAAAGCCAACCAGTAATACTAACCAGTAACACTAAAGCCAACCAGTAATACTAACCAGTAATACTAACCAGTAACACTAAAGCTAACCAGTAATACTAACCAGTAACACTAAAGCCAACCAGTAATACTAACCAGTAATACTAAAGCTAACCAGTAATACTAAAGCTAACCAGTAATACTAAAGCTAACCAGTAACACTAAAGCCAACCAGTAACACTAAAGCTAACCAGTAATACTAACCAGTAACACTAAAGCTAACCAGTAATACTAACCAGTAATACTAAAGCCAACCAGTAATACTAACCAGTAACACTAAAGCTAACCAGTAACACTAAAGCTAACCAGTAATACTAAAGCTAACCAGTAACACTAAAGCTAACCAGTAATACTAACCAGTAATACTAAAGCTAACCAGTAATACTAACCAGTAATACTAAAGCCAACCAGTAATACTAACCAGTAACACTAAAGCTAACCAGTAACACTAAAGCTAACCAGTTACACTAAAGCTAACCAGTAATACTAAAGCCAACCAGTAATACTAAAGCTAACCAGTAACACTAAAGCTAACCAGTAATACTAAAGCCAACCAGTAATACTAACCAGTAATACTAAAGCCAACCAGTAATACTAACCAGTAATACTAAAGCCAACCAGTAATACTAAAGCTAACCAGTAATACTAAAGCTAACCAGTAACACTAAAGCTAACCAGTAATACTAAAGCCAACCAGTAATACTAACCAGTAATACTAAAGCCAACCAGTAATACTAACCAGTAACACTAAAGCCAACCAGTAACACTAAAGCTAACCAGTAATACTAAAGCCAACCAGTAATACTAACCAGTAATACTAAAGCCAACCAGTAACACTAAAGCTAACCAGTAATACTAAAGCCAACCAGTAATACTAACCAGTAACACTAAAGCTAACCAGTAATACTAAAGCTAACCAGTAATACTAAAGCCAACCAGTAACACTAAAGCTAACCAGTAATACTAAAGCTAACCAGTAACACTAAAGCTAACCAGTAACAGTAAAGCCAACCAGTAATACTAAAGCCAACCAGTAATACTAAAGCTAACCAGTAATACTAAAGCTAACCAGTAATACTAACCAGTAACACTAAAGCCAACCAGTAACACTAAAGCTAACCAGTAATACTAAAGCTAACCAGTAACACTAAAGCCAACCAGTAATACTAACCAGTAATACTAACCAGTAATACTAACCAGTAACACTAAAGCTAACCAGTAATACTAACCAGTAACACTAAAGCTAACCAGTAATACTAAAGCTAACCAGTAATACTAACCAGTAACACTAAAGCTAACCAGTAACACTAAAGCCAACCAGTAATACTAAAGCTAACCAGTAACACTAAAGCTAACCAGTAATACTAACCAGTAACACTAAAGCTAACCAGTAATACTAACCAGTAATACTAAAGCTAACCAGTAACACTAAAGCTAACCAGTAATACTAACCAGTAACACTAAAGCTAACCAGTAATACTAACCAGCCAACTAAAGCCAACCAGTAATACTAACCAGTAATACTAAAGCTAACCAGTAACACTAAAGCTAACCAGTAATACTAAAGCCAACCAGTAATACTAACCAGTAATACTAACCAGTAACACTAAAGCTAACCAGTAATACTAACCAGTAACACTAACCAGTAACATTAAAGCCAACCAGTAACACTAAAGCTAACCAGTAACACTAAAGCTAACCAGTAATACTAAAGCTAACCAGTAACACTAAAGCTAACCAGTAATACTAACCAGTAACACTAAAGCTAACCAGTAATACTAACCAGTAATACTAAAGCTAACCAGTAACACTAAAGCTAACCAGTAATACTAACCAGTAACACTAAAGCTAACCAGTAATACTAACCAGTAATACTAAAGCCAACCAGTAATACTAACCAGTAATACTAAAGCTAACCAGTAACACTAAAGCTAACCAGTAATACTAAAGCCAACCAGTAATACTAACCAGTAATACTAACCAGTAACACTAAAGCTAACCAGTAATACTAACCAGTAACACTAACCAGTAACATTAAAGCCAACCAGTAACACTAAAGCCAACCAGTAATACTAACCAGTAATACTAACCAGTAACACTAAAGCTAACCAGTAATACTAAAGCTAACCAGTAACACTAAAGCTAACCAGTAATACTAACCAGTAACACTAAAGCTAACCAGTAATACTAACCAGTAATACTAAAGCCAACCAGTAATACTAACCAGTAATACTAAAGCTAACCAGTAACACTAAAGCTAACCAGTAATACTAAAGCCAACCAGTAATACTAACCAGTAATACTAACCAGTAACACTAAAGCTAACCAGTAATACTAACCAGTAACACTAACCAGTAACATTAAAGCCAACCAGTAACACTAAAGCCAACCAGTAATACTAACCAGTAATACTAACCAGTAACACTAAAGCTAACCAGTAATACTAAAGCCAACCAGTAACACTAAAGCCAACCAGTAATACTAAAGCCAACCAGTAATACTAACCAGTAACACTAAAGCCAACCAGTAATACTAACCAGTAATACTAACCAGTAACACTAAAGCTAACCAGTAATACTAAAGCCAACCAGTAATACTAAAGCCAACCAGTAATACTAAAGCTAACCAGTAATACTAAAGCTAACCAGTAATACTAAAGCTAACCAGTAATACTAAAGCCAACCAGTAATACTAAAGCCAACCAGTAATACTAAAGCTAACCAGTAATACTAAAGCCAACCAGTAACACTAAAGCTAACCAGTAATACTAACCAGTAATACTAAAGCCAACCAGTAACACTAAAGCCAACCAGTAACACTAAAGCTAACCAGTAATACTAAAGCCAACCAGTAATACTAAAGCCAACCAGTAACACTAAAGCTAACCAGTAATACTAAAGCCAACCAGTAATACTAAAGCCAACCAGTAACACTAAAGCTAACCAGTAATACTAAAGCCAACCAGTAATACTAAAGCCAACCAGTAACACTAAAGCTAACCAGTAATACTAAAGCCAACCAGTAATACTAACCAGTAACACTAACCAGTAACACTAAAGCTAACAATCTAAACAAAGCAGGCATCGTATTGTACTTACCATTTTCGTCATGGTTACTTTCCCCAAGGCGTTCAATTTCCTCTTCCTCCAAGTTGTCAAAGCTGACAACTTTGAACTGTGAGAGTAGGTCATCCCCTGCTGTTGTTGGTTCTACTTCCCTAGTTTCTGCACGCTGTAGGATCTCATCAATGTCAACCTTAAAAACACATACTGAGGATCACAAATTCTGACGATCAACAAGCAAAAATATGAAACATTAACTTTGTTTTCTTTCAATTTTCTTTGTTTTTTTTTCTCATTAAAATGGAGTAATGACCTGAATATTCCTTGAATCTATAATTGGTGCATTTAAATATTTACAACGGAAATTGAACAAATTATATCAACAACAAAATATTTCCTACATAAACTAAAGTAAAATTAACCCACTGCCCCAAGAAAATGTGAGATCCTTGGACCATGATATTCACAATTTCCACTGCCCCAGGAAAATGTGAGATCCTTGGACCATGATATTCACAATTTCCACTGCCCCAGGAAAATGTGAGATCCTTGGACCATGATATTCACAATTTCCACTGCCCCAGGAAAATGTGAAATCCTTGGACCATGATATTCACAATTTCCACTCCCCCAAGAAAATGTGAGACCCTTGGACCATGATATTCACAATTTTGATTAATGACCTGAAGACGTTTCAATCCATGAGGAGCATCTGATACTAACATATCTTGGTGTCAAGAAGTAGATTTTTGAAATCTGAGTCAATTTGACCCCTTTTGGTCCTGCCCATCAGCCTCGAAAGGGTCAACCACGATCAATATGAGTGTACCATCAAGCTGTCCTCCCGTGCTCATAATTGTAAGGAAGTTTGTTAGGTAATATTTTCAATAATTTTAAAACAAATTATACTAAAAAATCTAGTTTTCCTATGTAAACTATAGTAAGCTTTACCCCTTCCCCTCAGGGTAATGTGAGGCCTTTGGGCAATGACATTTACAATTTTGGTTAACCACCTTAAGACATTTCCATCCATGCAGAGCATTTGATTCTATCATATCTGGGTTTTAATAAAGATTTTTGAAATTTGAGTAAGGCATAAGGCCTGGTGAGTTGATAAAACTGTACATGCTGTAAAGCCTCTTACCTGTGGTTCCTCTTCATCACTATCACATTCTTTGAACAACTCCTCGGCACCAAATTTCAGAATGGCACTCAACTCTTCCTTCTTGAATGGTGTAGCATTACTGTTGAAAGTAAGATATATTGAAGACTTGTCACTAAACTATTCTGAACTATGTTTTTTTGGATACAAGGAAAAGAATATTTTGAGACTACAGACATTAAGGATCGACAGACTAAACAAGAGACGACAGACATTAAGGATCGACAGACTAAACAAGAGAAGACAGACATTAAGGATCGACAGACTAAACAAGAGACGACAGACATTAAGGATCGACAGACTAAACAAGAGACGACAGACATTAAGGATCGACAGACTAAACAAGAGACGACAGACATTAAGGATCGAGAGACTAAACAAGAGACGACAGACATTAAGGATCGACAGACTAAACAAGAGACTACAGACATTAAGGATCGACAGACTAAACAAGAGACTACAGACATTAAGGATCGACAGAATAAACATGAGACTACATATCAAGTATCGACAGACTAAACAAGAGACGACAGACATTAAGGATCGACAGACTAAACAAGAGACGACAGACATTAAGGATCGACAGACTAAACAAGAGACTACAGACATTAAGGATCGACACACTAAACAAGAGACTACAGACATTAAGGATCGACAGACTAAACAAGAGACGACAGACATTAAGGATCGACAGACTAAACAAGAGACGACAGACATTAAGGATCGACAGACTAAACAAGAGACTACAGACATTAAGTATCGACAGACTAAACAAGAGACGACAGACATTAAGGATCGACAGACTAAACAAGAGACGACAGACATTAAGGATCGACAGACTAAACAAGAGACTACAGATATCAAGTATTGACAGACTAAACAAGAGACGACAGATATCAAGTATTGACAGACTAAAAAACAGTTACATGTGATGCCTCTCCTCTCCAACTTTTTTACTATTATGTATATTTTTAAAGTTAAATGCAAAATACACTAAAATCTATGCCCTTACCTTCCTTTTCATCCTTTACATAACCAGTCCCATCAGAGTCCCTTTTAACGTTTATTTTAATAAGTATTATGTAAACTCCAGATGTGTAATCATATTTATTGCTTTGTAATACATTATATGATATGGGATTTATCCCCATAAAAATCAGTCAAGAAGAGGAAGAGTACAACTCACACAAAACCGTTATTTTACAATTCTTGTTTAAATATGCCTTAAATCTTAAAGTGGTACAACTCACACAAAACCGTTATTTTACAATTCTTGTTTAAATATGCCTTAAATCTTAAAGTGGTACAACTCACACAAAACCGTTATTTTACAATTCTTGTTTAAATATGCCTTAAATCTTAAAGTGGTACAACTCACACAAAACCGTTATTTTACAATTCTTGTTTAAATATGCCTTAAATCTTAAATAGAAGTAGTCATTCCACCAAGTTTTTATCCCTAAACTACAGGAACACAATGTCCATATTACTATGTAACTATCTTCCAGGTCTGATGGGCATACCACCAGTACTTAGTGATAAACTAAAATAAGCAACTTCTGAACATCCCTCATCTTCGAAGTAGCTCAACTAAAATTTAGGAGATCTTTTGTACATGAAGGACGTCATCTAGCTACAGAAGAAGTTGGGGCTTAAGTCTCACACTTTTTAATTAACAGATATAAACCCAAAATTTTTAAGTAACATGTTGATGACTTTGTGATCACTGCTGCTAGAAAAGCAACACCATAGTCACAGTGTTGTAACATTTTATTGCAGACAATCTTGATGGTGAAGTGAGATGATCTCTGCACAGTCTTCTTTGACAATACTTACCTAGAAGGAACATGGCCACGGTCAAGCACTGTCCGGCCAGTTGTGTCCATTCTTTGGATGACCAAGTGGTCGAGCACCATTTTACGTTTCGCTCGCTCTACAATGTCTTCCTCCACGCTGCCTTTTGTGACCAGCCTGTATACACTCACCTAATATATATAAATTAAGCAGACTTCAGTCACTAAAGCCCTAATGTTATCCTAGTGGATTCGGATTCGGCAAGATCAATGAATCTATATCAAATAGTATCCTTTTCCTATATATCAAACTATAGCACAGTTTACCCTTCCCTTGAGGGAAGCGTGGTACTACAGTTTTGACAACAGTTTACCCCTCCCTTGAGGGAAGCATGGTACTACAGTTTTGACAACAGTTTACCCCTCCCTTGAGGGAATCATGGTACCACAGTTTTGACAACAGTTTACCCCTCCCTTGAGGGAAGCATGGTACCACAGTTTTGACAACAGTTTACCCCTCCCTTGAGGGAAGCATGGTACAACAGTTTTGACAACAGTTTACCCCTCCCTTGAGGGAAGCATGGTATCACAGTTTTGTTAACTGTTTACCCCTCCCTTGAGGGAAGCGTGGTACCACAGTTTTGTCAACAGTTTACCCCTCCCTTGAGGGAAGCGTGGTACCACAGTTTTGTCAACAGTTTACCCTTCCCTTGAGGGAAGCTTGGTACCACAGTTTTGTGAAATTCATCATTTTGATAAACCATCATAGAAAGTTTTAATGTTCAGCATTAATAGCACTTAAAATGGGGCAAAGTCAACACTGGCGGGGATGAGTGCAATGTTATATGGTATTTATAAGACAGTTAAGGGTGTTTCATTTGTTGAGTAAGTAGAATATTTGTTAAAAGAGAGAAAGTTTGGTTGTATTTTATGAATTGGTGCAGAAGAAGGGCATTTGAAGAAAGAAGTTGCAGCCATTTTTGATTCAGAGATGTTAAAAAAATAGACAATAAACATCTAGGGCCCAAAGGTGATTTATATGTGGAATTTTGGAAAGATTCTTGTAGTAGTTTCTGAGAAACTGTGATAACAAGAAAAGTTTCAGAAAATAACTCCGGAAAATCCAGAAAAATGTCCGGAATGACTCCATAATAGGAGGTGCACATCTTCAACATATATATAAACATCCTACAAAGTTTCAAGCTTCTACATCAAAAACTCTAGGAGTTGATTCTACAAAACTGGTACCCTTTACCCCGCCTGCCCGACATTCACCATACTACAGCCCAGATTTGCACTATGTGCAACCCGGCCAATAACACTAATTCTACCTAAGATTTAAATTAGTGTGGAGTGAATATTGTTTAAACGAATGAACATGTACAGTTGACAATATACCTGATTTTTTTGGCCTATTCTATGGGCTCTGGCTTGGGCCTGAAGATCATTCTGCGGATTCCAGTCACTGTCAAATATAATTACAGTGTCGGCCGTGGCCAGATTTATGCCCAGGCCACCTGCTCTTGTTGACAACAGAAAACAAAAGTCCTGAAATGAAAAAACACAAATCAATCCAATCTGTTTCATATCAAAAGTTATTGGGACAACACCTATTGAGAACTGATCAATTTATGGTAAAAATTCAAGGAAAACAATAGTGCAATTTAGGTTTACAATCTATTAAATAGGTAACACACAGGATATACTGACTGACCAGAATAATAACCAATACCTAGAGAATAGGTAACACACAGGATATTCTGACTGACCAGAATAATAACAAATACCTAGAGAATAGGTAACACACAGGATATACTGACTGACCAGAATAATAACAAATACCTAGAGAATAGGTAACACACAGGATATACTGACTGACCAGAATAATAACAAATACCTAGAGAATAGGTAACACACAGGATATACTGACTGACCAGAATAATAACAAATACCTAGAGAATAGGTAACACACAGGATATACTGACTGACCAGAATAATAACAAATACCTAGAGAATAGGTAACACACAGGATATACTGACTGACCAGAATAATACATACCGGTGATCCCTGTGCATTGAAATGATCTAAAGCTGCCTTTCGTAAATCCCCTCGTATAGAGCCATCCAGCCTCTGTTGTAAAAGATCACAATACTTTATTATAAGATTTAATTCTAGTTCCAGTGATTGTCATATGATTGTCACCTGATTGTTGTGACATTCTTTCACATGGTAAAATGGTATCATGTTTACAAAAGCCAGGTACAATCTTTTCCTAGCAAAACCAGCATGTCATTATGAATTTTTTAGGATTGATTTTACATGTATGTTGAAGTGAATACTGTATTACAATAATCTATTCTTCCTCCAGTTCAACTTGGTTCTTACAAACAGAAACAAAAGTGAAAGTAGAAATTACCTTGCAGGACTATTTATGATGATTAAATATACATCAATTGGCATCAATCAAAAAAATAAGCTTTCATGTTGATTTTAATTGTTACAAAAATAAATTAACTAGAAAATCACTTTTCATCTTTTTTCTTTTTGAATAGGTTTGACTATTATGGTTATCTAACTTTTCGTTCTTGTGATATAAATAGCGTTCATGTTTTCTTTTAATATACTGGTTATTATAATATTTTTATCTGAAAAAGAGAAAATCACAATAAGCAGATTTCACTGTAACACCCAAGTGCAACTGTGCAACATACCTGGTGATTGAAATGTCTGGCCTTGAGATAATCTGCGATCAGGTCAAGCATGCGTACCATCTGAGAAAATATTAGCACTCGGTGTCCCGTTTCCTTTAGCCGACACAATAGTTTGTCAAGTAACAACAATTTGCCACTGCCCTTCATTAGGGCCTGGAACTTGTCCATACCAACATCATCATCCGGCAGACGGATAAGCTGCGTGTGGTTACAACATTTTTTCAATTCCATTATAATGTTCACAAAACTTCCTATGTTACCCTTAAGACCTTTTGATAGCGCCTTGTAGTTTTTTGTGAGAATCCATCTGAAAAGATTTCAAAATTATTATTTACAATCACCATTTTTTATCTACATCCTAAATTAATTTATAGATTCAACAGGGTATCACAACCACAGAAAATTAATTTTATCATGTGACATGGATTCATAATGCTATCAGCTCCCTACCAAAGTAAAACAGGTTAAGGGGATGTGACACAGAATAAAAATGATTTATCAGGACTTAATATTTGAGATTTCCTCAAAGTTCACTGCACTTATGAACCATAAGCTAAAGACTGATTAATAGCAACTATTCCCTGATTTTTCCACTCACTTGTAATATTGTTTTTGTAGTGAAGTCATCTCCACACGTAGTATTTGTTCAGTCTAAAATAAAAAAGTTTCATCATGAGATCTGTATTACAAGAGTGCTGTGGACACAATATATGTCGCTTCAAAATATAAAAGATCAAGATTGGTCCTTTTAATTATCACTTTTAACATGTCTGTATCATAAATCTTACAAAAATCAATGAACTGTAAAATCGCACCATTGTAATTGTGACATTGAGCAAGTTTTATGAAAATCTAATCAATAGTTCAGGAGGAGTTGCATTCATAAGGCTCCACTATGAGCAAGCTACAGATACAGAGTTGAAAATGGCATAAATCTTAGAAAAATCAACGAACCAAAAATTCACCCCTTCATGCACATCTACCCACTGTAGTAGTGACATTGAGCAAGTTTCATGAAAATCTCATCATTAGTTTAGGCCTCTGGTGGCGTATAATAATGGGACTTGTTGATGATTTCTGTCAATACATATAATATTTATTAATATCACTTTGTTTAAACTTCATTTCTTCATGGAGCCAGTTAAAAGCTGGTCTCAGGAAATGTTTTATTTAACTCTGGCAAAGTTCAAAAGTCATCTAGTTTTGATAAATGCTGAACTTTTTTTCATTTTGTCCTTCCTGTTATCAAACTGATCATCACAAACAAGCAAACAGTAATACAAAAACACCTACTTTTGCTGGCAGTGACTTTTCAACATCTTTTTTCATCCGGCGAAGTAAAAAAGGTTCCAACTCTTTGTGCAAGTTGGTAAATCCTGTTTTGTTCTCTGATGAGTGCATTCTCTCAAAGTCTGACCAATGTCCGAATCTGAAATTCATGGAATTTGAATCAGCTACATCCAAATAACCTAGTGATATGTAATCACTTCTAAATTGTCCAACTTTGTAACCACCAACCTTTGTGGACAATAAGAAAGAAGTGCCATCCAATCTGATTATGTATTTGTTTGTTGTGCGAAAAAGAAGTGTAGGGCATTACAAGTAATTACCTGTCCCCAACCCTGTAGGACAAAATATGTTTCACTACTCTTGAAATATTTTGGCTTGAAACATTTGAATTTGTGATTGTGAAATCAAATGGAATTATTTCCTTTCCTGAACCAGGAAGTGCAAGACCTACTTGTCAGGCATGATGAAGTGAAGTAGGGCCCAGAGCTCCTTCAGAGAGTTCTGCAGTGGAGTCCCTGTGATCAGGAGACGATGGTTGGAGTGGAAATCAAACAAGGATCTGTACAGGAGGGAGTCATCATTCTTGAGGCGATGAGCCTCATCAACCCCAAGGAATGCCCATTGTACACCTCCAAGGAAGGACTGCCAATACAGTATCATATCACAGCTTTGAAAACTTTTACACAATTTTTTTTTTCTCCAAAGGAATCTAAATATTCAACTGTTCTGTTCTTCTGCTTATCTGTGAATGATTGTAAAGCTAAACCAAATGACATATAACACAGCCTGCTTGATTTTGTTTCTTGGCTAGCTTTATTGCCCAGTCCATTGTCAGACTCAATTTGTACTCTCTACAACATACACGAGGCCAGACAACCCACTTATCAAGAGCAATTTGTTTTGTCTTGCCTAATGACACACCACAACAGTACTAACTACTCTGTCTCTCAGCTCCCCCCTCTCACAACACTCTACTGACTGAGTTATCACAGCCCCTCTATAACACTCTACTGACTGAGTTATCACAGCCCCTCTATAACACTCTACTGACTGAGTTATCACAGCCCCTCTATAACACTCTACTGACTGAGTTATCACAGCCCCTCTATAACACTCTACTGACTGAGTTATCACAGCCCCTCTATAACACTCTACTGACCGAGTCATCACAGCCCCTCTATAACACTCTACTGACTGAGTTATCACAGCCCCTCTATAACACTCTACTGACTGAGTTATCACAGCCCCTCTTTAACACTCTACTGACTGAGTTATCACAGCCCCTCTATAACACTCTACTGACCGAGTCATCACAGCCCCTCTATAACACTCTACTGAGTTATCACAGCCCCTCTTTAACACTCTACTGACTGAGTTATCACAGCCCCTCTATAACACTCTACTGACCGAGTCATCACAGCCCCTCTATAACACTCTACTGACTGAGTTATCACAGCCCCTCTATAACACTCTACTGACCGAGTCATCACAGCCCCTCTATAACACTCTACTGACTGAGTTATCACAGCCCCTCTATAACACTCTACTGACTGAGTTATCACAGCCCCTCTATAACACTCTACTGACCGAGTCATCACAGCCCCTCTATAACACTCTACTGACTGAGTTATCACAGCCCCTCTTTAACACTCTACTGACTGAGTCATCACAGGAAAATGTTCAAAATTTCTTTCAAAAACAAAGTTTTCCTGTGTTCTGTTGGACTCATTAAATAATTTTTAAAAATTTAGCTATCATATTTTTGCAGTTCCTTAATTTTAAAGCATGAAGTGCATTATAAACAGACAACATGATAGTACTGAGATCTATCTGTGTAAAAAACCCACCTTATCTTTCAATAAGATTTCATATGTAGTAATAAGTACGTTAAATTTCAATCTTTTGTTTCCAGGATGACACCATTCAAACTCTCTGATCTGAAATGATAAACAAACTATCAATTTACAAACTTATGTCAGATTTGCAACCAAAGAATCTTTCACATCAGACACAAACACAAACCAAGTGATTTATTTGCAAATAAAAAAAATCAATTTTTTTCCCTTCTCTTTTATAACAAATGTATAGTTTTATAGGTTTATTCTCTGCACCATACTTAATGAAAATGGCTATCATGACCTTGATCAAGCCCACTTGTACCACCTATAAAACGGAACACATTCTCTCTTTACATACATAACTTTAACCTATATTATGAAACAAATTCCAGAGAATCAAGTAAAATTAATTTTTTTACCTTGTTGCGACTTATGATGTCTCCCATATATATTACAACATTCATCTCGGGCGCCCAGGTTTCAAACTCGCGCTGCCAGGCAACAACAGTTGAGAGGGGTACCACCAAGAGGTAAGGGCCATGAAGTTGGTAGGTATTGTGGAGAATGGAGATGAATGAGATTGTCTGTATAGTCTTTCCCAGGCCCATCTCATCTGCCAGGATGACACTGTTCTCCCTGCAGCAATTGACTCGAGGTTACATTTACAGAAAAAAACCAACAGAGGACACCAGTGTTGATAAGCAGCTTGCCCATATTTCAGCTTCTTGATATCCCCTTACATCAAGACACAAGTGCCTTCATACTTATAACATAAATTTCATTGACTGCAGCCAACATCAAAGCTGATACAACCCAATATGCAGATAAATTTCAACAGGATCAAATCCCAATAGGTATTTCACACTTACTTGCACCAAGCATGCATGAGCCAGTTAACTCCATTTAACTGGTAGTCTCTCAGCTCTAGTGACTCAACACCTCCTAGGAACTTTGGCTGATTCTTGAGGGGTACAAATTTAGGACGGGACTTAAGAACCTGGTAAGACACAAATACAAGAAATAAATACATTAAAAATACATATCTAGAAATAGCTTTCTCTAAATGCCTTGTTTGAAGGAAGTAATATCTGATATCTACTTACTGTTTCTTTTCTGTCATTGTAAGAGGCACAATAACGATTATATTTTCATATACAGGAAGTGGAAACATAATGAAAACCATGGTTAACAGCTTACCTTTGAAAGCTTTGTGGGAATTTTTTGTGACTTGTTACGAGCTTGGTACTCGTCAACAGCTGACTGGAATTTGCGGGAGACAAGTTCGCCTTCCTCCCATGTACATTCAGAGTAGGGCAGACCGTTCCATTTACACAAGTAGTCAGGGTAACCATTATTTTCATTAGCCATTTTCTGATTGGAATGGGCTGTAAACAAAACAACATCCAGAAACATTTCTAACATCATATTTTAACAGAGACAGGGACACGCAACAAACATTTCTAACATCATATTTTAACAGGGTCACGCAACATACATTTCTAACATCATATTTTAACAGAGACAGGGACACGCAACATACATTTCTAACATCATATTTTAACAGGGTCACGCAACAAACATTTCTAACATCATATTTTAACAGACAGGGACACGCAACATACATTTCTAACATCATATTTTAACAGAGACAGGGACACGCAACTGTCAAACACAGGAAGCCCCTATAACAATGTTAGTGTTAACTGTCTAACACAGGTGGCCCCTATAACAATGTTAGTGTTAACTGTCTAACACAGGTGGCCCCTATAACAATGTTAGTGTTAACTGTCTAACACAGGAGGCCCCTATAACCATGTTAGTGTTAACTGTCTAACACAGGTGGCCCCTATAACAATGTTAGTGTTAACTGTCTAACACAGGTGGCCCCTATAACAATGTTAGTGTTAACTATCTAACACAGGAGGCCCCTATAACCATGTTAGTGTTAACTGTCGAAAACAGAGTTAGCTTTGGCTCTAACTTTTGGTTTGCCAAAATCTTAATTTTCTGACACCTGGGCCCGTATTCATGAAACCGTTCTCATGCTCAAGCATGAATTTTGTACTCAAGCCTTATGTCTTGTTTAAGTTGAATATTAATAAATAAGGCTGATTTTGCTGAAGATTTGAAAACCATTTTGAAAGGACTTCAAGTCAAAGCTATATTCAAGGTTTAAATTTGACATTTGTATTATTTTATATTATTTAGGTGAATTATAAAAACGTTCGCTTGAGCATGAAATCTATGCTTGAGCATGAGAATGGTTTCATGAATACAGGTTATTATTACTGAGTAATTGTTGTGCTGTTGAACTTATTACCTATCACTCGTTCACAGTTACGGTACTGGTGAAACAGCTCCTCCATCATTTCCTGCTGAATGTCGTAGTAATCCTGATCCTCTGGCGAGGCATGCTCTTTCCTGTAACATAGATTAGGTTGCAACTGAAGGAAAACTTTCTAATAAAATTACAAGTGTATTTCTGTGGTTTTATATCATTACTTATAAACTACAGAAATGTATTCTATAAACGATATATTTACCATTCTTTTATCTCGTTAGTTTTCTTGATGTAATTCTCCAGCCTTTTGATTCCATGAACTTTCTGTTCCTTGATGTTCTCGTATGACTCCCACGTGTTATGGATATGAGCCCAGTTCTTCCATTTGATGTGGTACTGCTGGGACGTTTCCTCGGTCTGTGGGTCACAGCCATCGTTAGGATCACCATTGTCCTGCACATTGTAGATAGTCGTCTTACTGCCGACAGCTAGACAAAAATATATACAGTCAAATCCCTCATCTAGACATCTTTATAAACTTATTGGAGGTTTTATCAACAGAGTCTTGTTCATCAGTAAATGTCCATTACATTTTTTAAATATCTTAATATGAACAACGGAACAGTTCCTTTATCTTTGTCTAAATGTGTAGGACACAGCTATTGGAGGTACATGGTGGCATGACATTGCCACATCCATCTTACATGTAATTGGTGAGATTGCCACATCCATCTTACACGTAATTGGTGAGATTGCCACATCCATCTTACATGTAATTGGTGAGATTGCCACATCCATCTTGCATGTAATTGGTGACATTGTCACATCCATCTTGCATGTAATTGGTGACATTGCCACATCCATCTTGCATGTAATTGGTAGATTGCCACATCCATCTTGCATGTAATTGGTGACATTGTCACATCCATCTTGCAAGTAATTGGTGACATTGCCACATCCATCTTACATGTAATTGGTGAGATTAAAACATCCATCTTACATGTAATTGGTGAGATTGCCACATCCATCTTACATGTAATTGGTGAGATTAAAACACATCCATCTTACATGTAATTGGTGAGATTGCCACATCCATCTTACATGTAATTGGTGAGATTAAAACACATCCATCTTACATGTAATTGGTGAGATTGCCACATCCATCTTACATGTAATTGGTGAGATTAAAACATCCATCTTACATGTAATTGGTGAGATTAAAACATCCATCTTACATGTAATTGGTGAGATTAAAACACATCCATCTTACATGTAATTGGTGAGATTGCCACATCCATCTTACATGTAATTGGTGAGATTAAAACACATCCATCTTACATGTAATTGGTGAGATTGCCACATCCATCTTACATGTAATTGGTGAGATTGCCACATCCATCTTACATGTAATTGGTGAGATTAAAACATCCATCTTACATGTAATTGGTGAGATTAAAACACATCCATCTTACATGTAATTGGTGAGATTGCCACATCCATCTTACATGTAATTGGTGAGATTGCCACATCCATCTTACATGTAATTGGTGAGATTGCCACATCCATCTTACATGTAATTGGTGAGATTAAAACATCCATCTTACATGTAATTGGTGAGATTAAAACACATCCATCTTACATGTAATTGGTGAGATTAAAACATCCATCTTACATGTAATTGGTGAGATTAAAACACATCCATCTTACATGTAATTGGTGAGATTGCCACATCCATCTTACATGTAATTGGTGAGATTAAAACATCCATCTTACATGTAATTGGTGAGATTAAAAAACATCCATCTTACATGTAATTGGTGAGATTAAAACACATCCATCTTACATGTAATTGGTGAGATTAAAACACATCCATCTTACATGTAATTGGTGAGATTAAAACACATCCATCTTACATGTAATTGGTGAGATTAAAACATCCATCTTACATGTAATTGGTGAGATTAAAACACATCCATCTTACATGTAATTGGTGAGATTGCCACATCCATCTTACATGTAATTGGTGAGATTAAAACATCCATCTTACATGTAATTGGTGAGATTAAAACATCCATCTTACATGTAATTGGTGAGATTAAAACACATCCATCTTACATGTAATTGGTGAGATTGCCACATCCATCTTACATGTAATTGGTGAGATTAAAACACATCCATCTTACATGTAATTGGTGAGATTAAAACATCCATCTTACATGTAATTGGTGAGATTAAAACATCCATCTTACATGTAATTGGTGAGATTAAAACATCCATCTTACATGTAATTGGTGAGATTAAAACACATCCATCTTACATGTAATTGGTGAGATTGCCACATCCATCTTACATGTAATTGGTGAGATTAAAACACATCCATCTTACATGTAATTGGTGAGATTAAAACACATCCATCTTACATGTAATTGGTGAGATTAAAACATCCATCTTACATGTAATTGGTGAGATTAAAAGATCCATCTTACATGTAATTGGTGAGATTAAAACATCCATCTTACATGTAATTGGTGAGATTAAAACACATCCATCTTACATGTAATTGGTGAGATTGCCACATCCATCTTACATGTAATTGGTGAGATTAAAACACATCCATCTTACATGTAATTGGTGAGATTAAAACACATCCATCTTACATGTAATTGGTGAGATTAAAACATCCATCTTACATGTAATTGGTGAGATTGCCACATCCATCTTACATGTAATTGGTGAGATTAAAACACATCCATCTTACATGTAATTGGTGAGATTAAAACACATCCATCTTACATGTAATTGGTGAGATTAAAACATCCATCTTACATGTAATTGGTGAGATTAAAAGATCCATCTTACATGTAATTGGTGAGATTAAAACATCCATCTTACATGTAATTGGTGAGATTAAAACACATCCATCTTACATGTAATTGGTGAGATTAAAACACATCCATCTTACATGTAATTGGTGAGATTAAAACATCCATCTTACATGTAATTGGTGAGATTAAAACATCCATCTTACATGTAATTGGTGAGATTAAAACACATCCATCTTACATGTAATTGGTGAGATTAAAACACATCCATCTTACATGTAATTGGTGAGATTAAAACACATCCATCTTACATGTAATTGGTGAGATTAAAACACATCCATCTTACATGTAATTGGTGAGATTAAAACACATCCATCTTACATGTAATTGGTGAGATTAAAACACATCCATCTTACATGTAATTGGTGAGATTAAAACACATCCATCTTACATGTAATTGGTGAGATTAAAAGATCCATCCATCAAGTGAACTATCCAACCTTTCAAAATGGGAAGACTTATCACAATATCTATTTCTGTCAATATAGCTGTATACCTGTTTTACGTCCTATCCTATCACCAAGGACTTTCTCAATACACTCTCTGTTGTCCTCAACTTCAGGTTCTGCCCCTTCATCTCCTGCTGCCACTTCTATCAAGTCATCTGAGTCGGTGTGATCATCCGACGCCTCCTTGTAACTGCCAGAATAAAGTGTCAAGATTTATTACAGAGCATACCCCTCCATGCCTTAAATCACAGTCACAGATCTAACCTCTTCAACTTAAATTGTTTCAAACAAAGATAGCTGGAATAAACTTATCTTAGTAAGATACAATTTTATATTAAACCAGAAATCATCATTTCCAAATATTTCTGATATATTCTGTATTTTCAGTAAGTTCCAAACTAATTTGTCTTTTAGGCAAGTCATGACTTGAAATAAGAAACACCTGAGGGATCTTTGCATCAACCACTGTTTGAATTTTTTGGTTTTTTTTTGGTTGGACCTTTCCCTTTGTAAAGGTCCTTTTTTTCCACTGTCTGTTTTAGATCTCAATTACATGACATTTGAATCCTCTTCAGAAAAAGTGATATAATCTCCTGCCAAATTCAAGCCTTTTATTTTTCTGATCAGTCACATAAACCAGCACAACCAGGGACCAAGCTTATAGGGAACAGAGGAGATCTGAGAACAAGAGATCCCAGAGGGATCTTGGCGCCCACCATTTGAGGATCTATTTTCAGTTCTTGAAGATTTGTTTATTTTTATTTTTTTTTTTTTTGTTACAGGTGTTGTGAATGTTCATGAACTGGTCTTCATTGAATGTACTCAATGATGGCACAAGATATTTTAATTAAGCACTTATCAGCAAATATCATTTGAAAAAGATCCCAAAGTATTATTAGATAGCAGTCAGTTACAGGTGGATAATGGGCAATATGTTTGTGCTGTATTACTGTCGACATCCAAGATTTGAGCACTCCACCACTTGATGACAATAGACCACAGACACAACGATTTGAACAAGACCACAGACACAGCTTGAACGACCCACCACCTGATGACAACAGACCACAGACACAGCGATTTGAACACCCAACCACCTGGTGACAACAGACCACAGACATAGCGATTTGAAAACACCAACATCTGATGATGTTGGATTAAAAACATTTCAGCTAGTCTCAATACAAAACCTGAAATTGATATCAAAAATATACAACTACAATTGAACAATACATGTAAAACAGATAAAATTTGGAAATGAAATGAAAAAAACATGATAGTTCCAAACTGCCTCAGTCTATAACATGGGGACACAAACAGTACAAGATAGAAAAGAAATATAAATGATATAATAAAAGTCAAAATCAAAATAACCATTTAAAATGCTAGAGATCAATGCTGAGATAAAATGGGAGTTACAACCAAAACATCAACAGTACAACTTTCCAATACTGCTTTCTTATAATATAACATATTCTGCTGAGGTGTTCAATGGCATCTCTTACTATCTAAAACTCTCATCAGGGATCCTGAGGTATTTCATACAGGGGCTTTTGTAAATGCTCTTCAGGGTTCATGATGTATCTTGTACAGGGGCTTTTTGTAAATGCTCTTCGGGGTTCATGAGGTATCTTGTACAGGGGCTTTTTGTAAATGCTCTTGTGGGATTTTAGTGGACATCTCGTACACAAGCTTTATCTGGATGGTAACATGCACAAACCAATAACTGTAACTTCGTCTAACACAGGGAACCTTTTCAGTGCTTTCTGCACATATTCCAAAGTAGTTTCCAAGAAGTGTACAAAATTGGAAGACTCTACCACTATACAAATGAAACAAGCACAAATATACAATATGTAAATGGCGGGCAAAGACGACAATCCATGCCTTACCTAACATTTTTCTTTGCACTTTTCCTTCGCAGGGCGGGAGCTTTGTTAAGCTTGTTCCCTGATGCCTTGCCCCTGAGTCACATAAGGAGAAATCTATCAGTACCACTTGTACTATGAACAGTAGACAGAGATTTGACACAGCACTTGCCCCACTCATTACAATGCTTTGTGTTGGTAAATATTCTTACACTATCTTCAGAAAAGTGCTTTTCTCTGTAACAGTAAAGTTACCAACCAACAAAAGGTGTTATAAATCATTATCATCATTCATTACAGTCAGATTTCATAACATCCCTTCAAAACTTTGCTTTCAACATTTAAAGAAAAACCACCATTTAAAAAATAAAAATTCTTGAAATTCTTTGTCATTAGCAAAAAATTCCATAATCCAAACAATTTCTGAAGAAGTTCTCTGTTCTACAATAGTAAGCAAGGAGGCTCTTCCTCCTGTGTGTCCTGGGATAACTTTGACCTCAGAAAACAATGAATTTTATCAGTAATCTATTTGCTGTTTGTTAGACAATTTAGATCATGTTGACAATGTTCAAATTAAAAACCAGATGACAGAATAATCAACATGGCTACCCATAGCAATCAAAACATCTCAGAGGGTTCCCACCATTGTTTGATCTTTATTCGCTCTTTGAAAGCTGGATCTTTTTCCTTCTTTTCTCTTCTCTGTTTTTGCTCTAAATGATAAGACATTTGAACATTCCTTTGGCAGAAATTGCGGTGATAATCTTCACTTGTCAAATCCAAAATGGCAGTCTGGAAGCCATTTCGTTTCTTCTGATCAATATCAAAACTGAACGCACAAAAGGAAAGACCAAAGGGAACATACGTATGAAATTTGAGAAAAGTTATTGCAGTAGTTCCAAGAAAATAGCAATAATAAACTTTCAAATTCAAAATCAAAAATGGCCACCAGTCTGCCATTTTATTTTTCTGATCAGTCCAAAAATCAAATGGGCACAACTAGGGACCAAAGGGAATCTACATATGAAATTTATGAAAGATCTATCTGGTACTTATGTAGAAATAGCGATAACAAACATCATTGAAATAATCAAAGATGGCCGCCTTTTTTCAATTTTGTTTTCCTGATCGGTCCCAAAATTGAATTGGCATAACTACGGACAAAGGGAAACCTTCATAGGAAATTTGAGAAAGATCTATCCTGTACTTCTGAAGAAATAGCCATAACAAAAATTGTTTACAAAATGACAGACGGACCACGGACAGATGGACCATGGACCCAGGGCAATTTGAATAGCCCACCAGCTGATAATTGTGGGCTAATTATGACAGGATAAGATTGACCCCATCTCTATAAGAAGTAAAAAACTCATCCTGGCTAGTGAAGAGTCTTTTTGTTTCCATGTGTATGTCAAAAAGTAAAATACTTTAATTTACTTCTTTAGTAATCACCTTCAATATTTCCAGCAATTTATGTTGGTAAATATGAAAGATGTAAGAGATCATGTTTTAACAAATACATTCATAAAAAATGGCTGTGTGGCTTGAAGAACAAGAAACATGTGGATTTTCACTGAAGATATAGATAAGCGTGGGAGGCTTATTTGAAAAATTATATATTTATAAAATAAGGTGATGTAGTTTCCTAGTTTCTGACCACCAAGTGAAACAAGAAAACTGGGTGTGGTTACTGTAAATCATTTTGATTTCGCGAATACTTAATTTCACCAACTTCACTTTTCAGACATATTCATAAAAAATTATCTAGAAATTATTATAAATTGTGAATGATGAGCTATTAGAGACCATGACTCTACAAGGCTCCGACATCAGTAACCAAACCAACATAAATACCAAGTGATTTAGAGTAGATCAAATGCTGCAGAATTGGCGCATTACTGTAAGTTCCTTTGCTGGGTTACTGAGGCTGATGATGATGATGATAATTACACAATTCAAGCATGCCATCCATTGCAAAGAATGCCTACCTAATTTTACTGGTGGTGTTTCTAAAAGATACTCTGCGATCTTCATCACTGTCAGAATCGTACGAGTCAGAGAGACGCCTCTCTCTCCGTTTACCTCCTGCTGCTCGTCTTTTTTGTGTCTTTACTGGTCGACGTGACGATCTTTTTGACTGCGGAGCTCTGTCAGAAAAAAACATGCACTAATTAATTTCTTATACAGAACAAATTGCCAGAATAGTTTGTGATCTCTCATGAAATGATGTTACAGTTTTATTTTTTAAATACAAAAAAAAAAAAAAAGTCATTGGTTAATAATTCCAATGCTGAAGGTTGTAAACTAGTTAAGATGCAGAGTGATCTTTGCTACTACCATTGTTTTATTTTCATTTGTTCTACCAGAAGTTGGATTTTTCCCCTTCTTTTTTGGTTTACAAAATGAACTGCACATATTCAAAACTTTTTTGTAAAGACGAATAAAAAGACATACAATCAATGAAAAAAATTCATGTTTCACTGTAGTGTCCCTTTCAGAAAAAGTGATAATAATCGTTAACTGCCAAATACAAAAGGACCATATGTATGCTATTTTGTGTTTCTCATCAGTCTGAAATTCAGATATCCATGATTAGGGACCAAAGGGAACTACATATGAAATTTGAAAAAGATCCATCATGTACTTCCCAGGAAATAGCGATAACAATCTTTAATTGTCCAAATCAAAGATGGCCTCATGTCTGCCATTCTTGTTTACAAAATTAAGTGAAGACAGTACTTTTCAAGAAATAGCTAATTGCTTACAAAAAGACAAACAACTGTCTATAATGCAAGACAATTTGAAAAGCCCAGTAACAGAAACGGGGGTAAAAAAAGTGTACATTGAAAGATTTATTGGCCTCATGCTTACAATACAAACTTCTTAAAAAATATTTATCCTCGAATCTGTCAGTAAATTTTACAATATTCTCTGAAATTTGTCTCATCCTATTTTGGTAATGTAACAATTTTGAAGCTATCACCAATTTTATTTAAGTATCCATTTTACCGTTTTTGTCGTGAAATAGCAGCTTTATAACCATCACTGGATCCACTGTCACTGTCACTGCTGCCGTCCCATTCTCCAGACCTGAAACCCACCAAACAAAACTTCACCTTTATAAGCGTAAGACCGGAGTTGATTTTTATACTCTAAGATTCTGTTACACTAAAACATTAATTTCCTTTTCCTTTACAAAATTTCAAAAGGAAACAATCTTAAAATACAAATAACTTGAACTAAATGACATTAAAACAGTATGCATTCTTTTCAAGATTTGAACACTTCAATACTCACTCTTTCCTTCTTGATCGTTTCCTGCCTGCAGAATCTCCATCATCACTTTCATTCTACAAAAACAGAGAGGCAAAGCTTACCAAATCATCAATCAGTTACTTTAATTCTTCTGCAGTTTCCATTTTTTATCTTTTCATATATACATTTTTAAAGATCTTCATTTTGAACATTAGACACTTTATCTTCGATAGATCTTCGAGAACGACCAAGTGGATATGACTGGATGGTAGGATAACTTACTATTGAGGTGTATCTGATGGGCTCCTTCTTGGCTCGACCTGACCGTCGCAGTCCATACAGGTCAGGATTCTGTTCTACAATCTGAAATCCAAATTCAGAATACTTTATACCGCATATCTAACTTTCTACGTAATACCTTGATGTCCTAGCTTCACCCCTATTAAGTTCATAACACTGGCTTAGAATCTGAATAAGCAAAGATCTTGTAGTTAAGTGCAATATTTATTGAAGTTCTTATCCTGCAATTCAAGAAAATTGGTGATTTTTTCCCCCAAAACAATTCTAAAGCTATTCTTTACTGATTTTTCAACAAAATACAAAATACATTGAAGTTCAATCATCCCAGAAGAGCTTAAACACAATTTTCATGTATTAACTATCAAACCACCACAGTCCATTTCTACTTCTGCCTGTCAACTTACCTCCTTGTGTTTCCCTATATTTGCTTTGTGAGGACGGCCTTTCTTGCCAGTAGACTTACCTCCTTGAGTTCCCCTATATTTACTTTGCAAGGATGACCTTTCTTGCCTGTCGACTTATCTCCTCGAGTTCCCCTATATTTGCTTTGCAAGGACCGCCTTTCTTGCCAGTAGACTTACCTCCTTGAGTTCCCCTATATTTGCTTTGTGAGGACGGCCTTTCTTGCCAGTAGACTTACCTCCTTGAGTTCCCCTATATTTGCTTTGCGAGGACGGACTTTCTTGCCAGTAGACTTACCTCCTTGAGTTCCCCTATATTTGCTTTACGAGGACGGCCTTTCTTGCCTGTCGACTTACCTCCTTGAGTTCCCCAATATTTGCTTTGCGAGGACGACCTTTCTTGCCCGTAGAGGATGGCACATCCTGCGAGTCAGAAGTGGTAATTTCTAACTTGAGTCTCTTAGTGTCATTATCCTCGTCGCTGTTTGACTCACTCTCTGACTTTGCATCGCTGCCCTGACTAGAGTCTGAGGAGCTATCTGAAGCACTGGACTTGGCAGACTTCTGGTCATCTTCTCCCCCTGACCCTGATCCCGAGCCAGATCCAGATTCAGAATCTGAATCTGAACTTGAACCACTGAAATGAGAAACAGTTTTTCGATAATTGTTCAAATGAAAATATGATACCCAGTGCTACATACCTACTTAACTATGTAGGTTTACAATTGTTACAATGTTTAAGGCCATCGCACATCCCCCACAATTCTGAAACAGTTTCATCAAATTTGGTGTGTTTGGGCTTTATCCAGCTGGTAGTTTGGTCACAACAAGCAAGTTTTTTGGTGGAGTGCATATGGACACTGATCAGAATGTGACTAAAGCCACTTTTGACAATTAATTGTACTGCTTTTCAAACAAATCTATCGGTATATACAGTGAAACCTCACCTAACAACCATCTCAAATTTATGACCACCCCTCTTTTGCAGGCACTTTTGTTACAAAATTTTTTCAGCCACTAAACTTGATTAAACTTTATCATGCAATGATGATAACGAGTAAACAAAACCAACTCTCGCTCAAAGTTTCAAAGAACTGACGACAGTCTATGACTATTGCAGGTTGATATATTTCATATTTCAACATGAAATTCCTACTGAACTTCCAATCAATCAAGGTTTACAAATGTTAAATGTACATATATATTACAATATTAACTAACTAAAGAATAAATACATATATATTCTGAAGTCTATTCACCAATTTTCACTTGAATTTCATAAATTAACAAATAAATTAAATACTGTTGAATAATATACATTTTCATTACTTAATGATATATACAGTCATCATTTTGAACAGAGTTACTGTTCTTTGCTGCCAATCTGGTCCATCTCACTTATCAAGACCATCTTACTATTAAGACCGTTTTTTTCCAGTCCCCAAAGTAGTCTTAATAGTAAGGTTTCAATGTAGCCCCTAATTCATCCAAAGCTTCATGGTTCTGTTTTTACAGCAGTGATTGTGAAGATCAATCAGGGTCGATTAAATGCTAGCATGGTTTAGTATTCAAGTATAACTTGTCATTAAATTCAAACACACCAACGATCTTCAACTGATATTAACAAACATGAATGTTCCAAGACACCTAAGACTTAACAAATTGACAGTAGCTGTGCAGTGACAATTTTATACCTGACATAATGAAATTGAGCATACCAGAATTGTTTGAAAATCCTGGTTTTTAACAGTGATTAATTAACTGTCCTTCTCACTTTCTTTTAACATGAGAAACCACAATATCCTATAGCTTATATTCTATTCACACAAAACAAAAAGACAGATTTCTGTTCATTGTTTTCTTGCACATCAATTTTATACTTTGAATTAGAATGGTCTTTCACTATGGTATAACCTGCTGTACTACTTGTAAAATGTTGAAATATCACTGGAAGGAGGTTTTTTTTATTCCTTATAGTATCTGACCTGGAATTAGAACCTGATCCGCTGTCTTCTACATCATATTTCTTTTCATCTGAACCATTTCTGGAATCAAGTGAGGATTTCTTCAACTTCAATTTGTTATTGTCATCATTACATGTTGGACCGAACAGGGGGCTGCTAAAATCCAATCCACCCTGAAATGATAAAAAAGATACATGTATATATATCATAGTAAAGGGATACTTGTGAGTACAAGGTCTCTAATGGGTAAAACTGAAAGGCCAACTTAAGTATCTTAACTTAGATCTCAAAAATTCATTAACTTAAAAACAAGAGGGTCATGGCCCTTAACAGTCATATGACAAACAAAGAATGAATGGACAAACCACAGAATTCACTGTTGGTGGTCTGATACATCTGATGAATTCAAATTTTGAATATTTCCTGTAAGTATCAGAAACTCATAAATGGAAGGCTCTGTGCATGAAAAACAGTTGCACCATCATGTTACAAAATAACTTCTGTGGTTACCATGTTGAAGTTTTGACCAGACTGAATAGTAAATTTAACCCTTTTTTGCCCTACCCCTCATACCCCTGTGGGGTAGGGAATATATAATTCACAATTTTGGTTCATCTAAAGCCAGGAAAGGTTATCTGCAAAAATTTCACTGAAATTGGATCAAGAGCTTTTGAGAAGAAGTCGAAAATGTTGAAATGTTTGTGGACATAGGACGCCGAATGAAGGCGATTGCAATAGGTCACCATGAGACTTGGATAACTTAAAAACTGACTGAAAGTTTAGGGAAATATGCCAAAAGCTGATAAGACAAATATGTACGTTTCAAACAAAATTATACAGAAATTATCTACAGACTCAACTATTCTTAATAACACAATAGTAACATAACAGATATGTTTGTATTTAATTGGAAGGCAAACCTGAACCAAACTTGAAGTCAACATTAACTTGTTACATGTTTTTGTATTTTTTTTCTGTAACACAAATAAAACAATCTCTAAAATTTCAAACTACTATGTATCTTACACTTTGTCTGACAATTAGATAAAAAAAATATTTATTAATGACAATGACAAAGTATGACAACATGGTTAAGGTCACTGTCCTTTTGACCTTCACCTTTCACACTTGCTGTTGATGACCTTGAGATGACTCTGAAAGTTAATGACAATGACAATTGATGACAACACCTGACCCTGACACATACAGCTCCTATACACAGTGATGTGTAGTCCCCACTATATAACACTAGTACAGCCTCCATTTTGTACACCTCACAGTAGACACAAAATGGCTGCCTTTATAGTCAATATAGTGAAGTATACCTCGATAGTCTAGCTTCAAAGTTAAAACACCAAAAAACTTACTGACAAAAGAAAATAGTCAATTTGATACAGTTTTAAGTCAGTCAAACCTGTCACAACCAATGTACAATTCCAAAACATCAAAACAAATCATTCCCTAACTCCTACAGGTACTGTGTAACATGTACAATACTGAAATTAAAAAGATTTAACAAATGCTACATCAATTTTGTAAGATACATATTTATCATGAATGACACTCCATGTGAAAACTCAAAATAAGTCAAATATCTCAAAAGGGTCCCTCTCAAATTCTGGAAAAATCTACATTATCTGAAAGTTAACAATGTGTTTAATATATCACCATAATTACAACATGGTCCACATTCAATTATCATGTTTTCAGTAACTTTGTTCTCTTCAAAAGAGGCACTGTCTAGAATCTGAACCTATGTGAATGTTAAGTAAGATTTAATCATGTTGACTATCAACACAAGCATTACAACCTCCTAACATTCCCAAACAACCAGATTCATACATCAGCAAAACAAATAATGAACAAAAACAGGATAATTATGTACTACTAACATAACTTTGAATTATAATCCAGTCATGTCATATTTTTCAACCAAAAACAGAAGATTTCTCTTAAAGACCAAGTGCAATAAGATCAACAAGATCATGGTTAAGGTCACTGTCCCTTTGACCTTCACCTTTCACATTAGCTGTTGATGACCTTGAGGTGACTCTGAAAGTTAATGACAATGACAATTGATGACCACCCCTGACCCAGACACATACAGCTCCTATACACAGTGATGTGTAGTCCCCTCTATATAACACTAGTACAGCCTCCATTTTGTACACCTCACACCAGACACAAAATGGCTGCCTTTATAATCAATATATAGAAATAACCCTTGATTGTCTGTCTTCAACACTAAAACACAAATACACATATTGACACAAAAAAAAAACAAACATTATGTTTTTACTGATCAAAACCTGTGTACCATTCAAAAATACTAAAAATTATTCTCTACTTACTACAGGTGCTTCATGTGTCACACTGTAAATGAATTTTTCAAAATATTTCACTGTACTTAAATGCTTATATTCACAGAAAAATGAAAATAATTCTGTCTCTCAGTGCAAAAACTCAAAATAAGTCAAATATCTCAAAAGGGTCCCTCTCAAATTCTGGAAAAATCTACATTATCTGAAAGTTAACTATGTGTTTAATATATCACCATAATTACAACATGGTCCACATTCAATTATCATGTTTTCAGTAACTTTGTTCTCTTTAAAAGAGACACTGTCTAGAATCTGTCTATCTGTATGTGAAATAACATTTGATCATGTTGACTACTTACATAAGCATTTCAACCTCCTAACATTCCAAACAACCAGATTCATACATTAGCATAACAAATAATGAACAAAAACAGGATAATTATGTACTACTAACATAACTTTGAATTATAATCCAGTCATGTCATATTTTTCAACCACAAAAAGAAGTTTTCTCTTAAAGACCAAGTGCAATAAGATCAACAAGATCAAGGTTAAGGTCACTGTCCCTTTGACCTTCACCTTTCACACTTGCAGTTGATGACCTTGAGATGACCCTGAAAGTTAATGACAATGACAATTGATGACAACACCTGACCCTGACACATACAGCTCCTATACACAGTTATGTGTAGTCCCCACTATATAACACTAGTACAGCCTCCATTTTGTACACCTCACAGTAGACACAAAATGGCTGCCTTTATAGTCAATATAGTGAAGTATACCTCGATAGTCTAGCTTCAAAGTTAAAACACCAAAAAACTTACTGACAAAAGAAAATAGTCAATTTGATACAGTTTTAAGTCAGTCAAACCTGTCACAACCAATGTACAATTCCAAAACATCAAAACAAATCATTCCCTAACTCCTACAGGTACTGTGTAACATGTACAATACTGAAATTAAAAAGATTTAACAAATGCTACATCAATTTTGTAAGATACATATTTATCATGAATGACACTCCATGTGAAAACTCAAAATAAGTCAAATATCTCAAAAGGGTCCCTCTCAAATTCTGGAAAAATCTACATTATCTGAAAGTTAACTATGTGTTTAATATATCACCATAATTACAACATGGTCCACATTCAATTATCATGTTTTCAGTAACTTTGTTCTCTTCAAAAGAGACACTGTCTAGAATCTGTCTATCTGTATGTGAAATATCATTTGATCATGTTGACTACTTACATAAGCATTTCAACCTCCTAACATTCCAAACAACCAGATTCATACATTAGCATAACAAATAATGAACAAAAACAGGATAATTATGTACTACTAACATAACTTTGAATTATAATCCAGTCATGTCATATTTTTCAACCAAAAACAGAAGATTTCTCTTAAAGACCAAGTGCAATAAGATCAACAAGATCAAGGTTAAGGTCACTGTCCCTTTGACCTTCACCTTTCACAATAGCTGTTGATGACCTTGAGGTGACTCTGAAAGTTAATGACAATGACAATTGATGACAACACCTGACCCAGACACATACAGCTCCTATACACAGTGATGTGTAGACCCCTCTATATAACACTAGTACAGCCTCCATTTTGTACACCTCGCACCAGACACAAAATGGCTGCCTTTATAGTCAATATAGCAAAGTATACCTCGATAGTCTAGCTTCAAAGTTAAAACACAAACAAACTTACTGACAAAAGAAAATAGTCAATTTGATACAGTTTTAAGTTAGTCAAACCTGTCACAACCAATGTACAATTCCAAAACATCAAAACAAATCATTCCCTAACTCCTACAGGTACTGTGTAACATGTACAATACTGAAATTAAAAAGATTTAACAAATGCTACATCAATTTTGTAAGATACATATTTATCATGAATGACACTCCATGTGAAAAATCAAAATAAGTCAAATATCTCAAAAGGGTCCCTCTCAAATTCTGGAAAAATCTACATTATCTGAAAGTTAACTATGTGTTTAATATATCACCATAATTACAACATGGTCCACATTCAATTATCATGTTTTCAGTAACTTTGTTCTCTTCAAAAGAGACACTGTCTAGAATCTGTCTATCTGTATGTGAAATATCATTTGATCATGTTGACTACTTACATAAGCATTTCAACCTCCTAACATTCCAAACAACCAGATTCATACATTAGCATAACAAATAATGAACAAAAACAGGATAATTATGTACTACTGACATAACTTTGAATTATAATCCAGTCATGTCATATTTTTCAACCAAAAACAGAAGATTTCTCTTAAAGACCAAGTGCAATCAGATCAACAAGATCAAGGTTAAGGTCACTGTCCCTTTGACCTTCACCTTTCACATTAGCTGTTGATGACCTTGAGGTGACTCTGAAAGTTAATGACAATGACAATTGATGACAACACCTGACCCAGACACATACAGCTCCTATACACAGTGATGTGTAGTCCCCTCTATATAACACTAGTACAGCCTCCATTTTGTACACCTCACACCAGACACAAAATGGCTGCCTTTATAATCAATATATAGAAATAACCCTTGATTGTCTGTCTTCAACACTAAAACACAAATACACATATTGACACAAAAAAAACCCAAACATTATGTTTTTACTGATCAAAACCTGTGTACCGTTCAAAAATACTAAAAATTATTCTCTACTTACTACAGGTGCTTCATGTGTCACACTGTAAATGAATTTTTCAAAATATTTCACTTTACTTAAATGCTTATATTCACAGAAAAATGAAAATAATTCTGTCTCTCAGTGCAAAAACTCAAAATAAGTCAAATTTCTCAAAAGGGTCCCTCTCA